CATTCAGACACCCAAAGCAAAGTGGTTTATGCGGTCACATGGGGAGGGTAATGCCCGGGGATCTTCAATTCCAATGTGGACACACTACCCTTCGTGCGACCTGTAGTACCAGTGGTGCCGGTAGCGGCGGTAGTGGTGGGCTTCAAGTCTTCGCCTACCGTGGAAGGGTCGAATTGGTTTGACGTCGAACGTCCCGGTGAAAGACTCCTTGTGGGAAAGTCAGTAACTGAGACGCCATCAACCTTGATTGATGTAGACGTGGGATCCTCTTTCAAAGTCTCATCGGCTGGCTGCCGTCTGTGTGAGCCGGCGAGGTCACCGGTCCCGATAATCGACGGTTCGTCGATGGACGTGGGGAGTGTGTTGTTCGTTTGATCCGTCACATTTGTCACGTTCGTCGTGGTGGGTGCCGTCGAGGCACTCTCACGACGTCGTCGGAAGCCCGGGGGTTCCTGTGAGTGAGTGGACCCGGTAGATGCGAGCAGATTCGGGTCCGATGACGAGAGAGGGCGCCTCTCATTGTCGGGTTGAAGCATACCCTGCTCTATTTGGGTGGAGGCAGGGTTATATGCTTTATACTGAGCCTGTTGCTGCTGACGGGCAGCAAAGGCCGCTGGCCCGATCCATTCCCCATAGTAACTGTCGTGTCTTTCAATACGACCGGTTCCCAACGAGGAATTGTCATTCCCTCCTTGATTAATGGAAGGCCTGGCGGTGCTGCCGGCGTTCCCATCTCGGTCTGACACTACCGAGAGACGATTGTCATAACCGTCCAGAGGGGACGTAGATCGATCCGGGCCGGATGATCCAACAACTGCCAGAAGGTCCCGGTCACCAGAGCTTTCACCGCTGGATGGAGACAGTGGCACCTGCAAATGCCGATCAATGTGCACGTCACTTGGGAAGCGTCCGCCGGGCTGGCGGGGTTGCGAGGTCGGCCGCTCGACGTTCATCAAAGCAGCCTCACTGGAATACGGAGTCCTGTCGGCCTCGTCTTCCTCATCCTCCATCACATCACTGCCCCCAGAGATAGTGATGCTGTTTCCGCTCACGCTCCGGACATGTCGGCGAACAAACGCATTGCGAGCTTCACCGGTCTTGGAGATCAAGCTCCCGATGTCCTCGAACCATGACATCATGGTCTCATGCGTCTCCGCACGGAACACCCAGGAGTGACCCCGGTGCATGGTTCCTGTCTGGCGTCCTTTAAGCATGAACTTGTACGACGACGAGCCCGGTTCAGAATGCTGGCCTAGCTTCTGCTCTGGGAGGTATAGAGACATCATGGGAGTCTGCGAAGCCACTAGATCGGCCGACTTAAACTCATGGAGATGAGTCGGCGACAGGACATACCTAACCAGTCAGTACTGAATAGAATACCAGTAAAAGGAAACTTACCAGCCTGGTGTGTAGCTCTTCAGGTACTTGCTCTTGCGTTCCAACATGCCGGATCGCACTTCTGCAGCAGCGGGATGATCCCTACCTGGGTAGGTGATATTCTCCACGTTGCGGAGAGGCACGCGCGGATCGACCATGTCATCGGTGCTGGAAATGAACGAGTTCCATTCGTGGTCCTGAGGCATCCCAATCGGACCCGCGCGCAATTTATCGACGGTGTCGTAGGCCTCGTCGGCCTCACGTTTAAGGACGCTGGCATATGCGTTGTAGGCCTTTTGGATTTCGCTCACCACAATGGACTCGAGCTCGCGACCGGAGTTTTCCAAGTTAAGGTATGCCTATAACCTTTTAGTTTCCCCGCACCAATGCAAAAGTCGAATTTTAATGTAGAACATACCCTGTGCAAATAATTCTCCTCCTCGATTTGCTTCTCAATCTGCCTGTCGACATTCAGACGAATGATAAACGGATCGCCTCTCCCGGACGCCGCAGCGGGGTCGCTGTCGACAACATCCAGGGCATCGTGCAGGTTCCGGACCGACTTGCGGGTGCCGTCGACTTCCTTCTCCACAGTATTCTTAAAATCACTAGCAAGACCCTTGATTTCTTTGATTTTCTTATGCAAATCGTTGCGGAGGCTCATCAGCTGGTTGACAACTTCGCTTTCAACCTCGGCGGCTTTGTTCGCCTCGAGATAGCCCTGTCGATGGAAGTCGCGGAGGATCTCGGTCGCATCGGCGATACCGCCCGTTTTGAGGAAGGATGGAGGCATCGTAGAATTGTTGATGACGTTGGAAGCCGACAGGAACAATTTCGAGCGCATTTCGTAGGATTTTTGGATTTCTTTGAAAAAGATGATTAAGTCTTTCAAGATCTTGCGCCATGCTATCTAGTGTCAGTATCGGTCTGAATAAATAAATAAAAAGAAAGTTAGCAAAAGATTAAGACGTACATTGAAAGCGATTAGCCAAAGTTTCTGTAGGATTGCCGTCTGTTGGAATCGGGACGGCAAAGGCGCTGTTGATATCATCGACGCTGTCAGCACCATACCGCTCCCGATCCAAACTGCGAACACTGCCGGCGCGCATGCTTTTCTTGCTCCCACTTCGACGCATACTGCCCCTCTTAGTGAGAGAAGCGCGTTTTTTCAACGTACTTGTACGAGTGGGAGTTGCGGAACGAGACTGGGACATTTGCGAGACGGAGCGCTGAACGCCCGGGGTGGCGGCTGCTGCTTGGACAGCTGACGGGCCTTCCAAAACGATGGAACCACGCTGACTGGCTGCATCGAAGTCTTCGTGGAACCGAGGGTTGTGGTGGTGTTGCAGATATGGGGGTAGGGAATAACGAGATCCGGCACCGCCAGCGATGGAGGGGGGATCGAGGAGGGCACCGTGAGCCACATTAGACGCGGCGCTACTGGCGACAAAGGAATTCGGTCTGGAATTGGAGCGGGAACCATAGCCACGACTCAAGGCGACAACGTCCGGATGGGTAGCACCGTTATTGTTGAAGTTGGCAGCATTGTTGTTGGGCTGCTGAGGGATTGGGCCATATGCATCCTGCACCAGGGGGCTCGGTGGCCGTGCGGCCATCGCCATGGTCACGGGACGGGCGAGGGAGGAGAGGAGAGGAGAGGAGAGGGAAGGAGGGGCAAGTCAATATGCACAGGAAGAATCTCGAGTCGTTTGTTGTAATAAGATCCAAGGATGTCGTTGTAGTAGACGAGTACTTTCTCTGTATTCTCACTGCATGCAAGTGCGGACGGTTTCGAATAGGCCGATCGATCGACGGGGGAAGAGGAATTGAACGGGTATATAGGAAGTCACAGGATAGCAATATAAGAACAGAATGCAGACAAAAGAAAAAAAAAAAAAATCAAAAGGAAAAAAAATATAACAGAAAAAAAAAAAAAAGGGAGGAAAAGGAACCCCTGGAGAGGTGGTTACCAGGCGAACGATACAGTCGTCGTATATAAGTGATAGTGCCCTTTCTTTAGTAGTACTCCGTAGTAGCAGTAGTAGTGCTAGGAGTTCTGTTTGCGGGGGGGTTTTTTCTTATAATAGTTTAATTAAGCAAAAAAAGAAGAAAAGAACAAGGGAATAGTCGCTCCACTGACTATTTGATGTTCATCAGGAGGCAATTGAGTAGCATTCACAGAATAAAAATACTTTCAAGTACAGGGTACGGAGTACATACTCAGGAAAGAGAAGAGTATATACCTCTAAAAGAATCCGGTTGAATGACGTCTTGACCAGAAATCCCGAAAAATGCGACGGTATGACTTCTACTACTATGTATGCATGTGTGTAAGTGTATATACTCCGTATACGGATCTCTCCCTAAGATACGGGACTCCCGGATGGTTCTATGATGAAGTGATGAGAGTTTGATCAGTTAATTGGCAGAGGGGTTCATGTACTTACAAGTCCAGTAATTCCGTTGCCTGTTCAGGAGTCGGAGTGGCTTATACTCTTTTTCTCCGTTTCTGGATGGCTTCGATGGAACCCCCAACAGCCAATGTTTTCGCATCTTTCATGAAGATCGTTCACTGTGATTTTACCAGTTAATATCAAATTCCATTAGAGTTGCCCCTTTTCTACCTGTGGCAAATCGCTGATTATCTAATATTATATCATGCACGGGGCATCTTCCGGCTGGCCGGATAAAGCCGAATTAAGACTGTCCGTACTATGCACGGAGGCAGAGGGGTTGAGGGGTCGAACATAACAAGAGGGAGTCCATGACGGACCGCTGATTCATGAAGAAAAGGGTCCATGGTTGTCGTGAGGAGAACCCGTTCAGCCCTTTGTCCAGATTTCCTAATCGGGTATTCATGAAGCTATCGTGTTGTCATCACCTATGTCGTCTTATCTCGAAGACCACAACCAAGGTACAAAATTCAATTGAGTCTGAATCATGTATTTCAGGATATCAATTCCGTGCCGGACTTAGAGTACAGAATACAGAGTACGGAATAACTCAGGGTGACGCCGGAAAGGCCACAAAACGTCGTGGCCCTTAAGCTACATTTTCGTGGCATTTCCTTCCTGGCGCCGCCGCTTTGAAGCGGGCCCTGGTAAATTTCCTGAACAGGTAAAGTGGGAATGAAACTCACCAACAAGTAGAAGAGCCGTAAAAAGCATATCAGAAATAGGCTAACCAAAGCAGCTGTCAGAGCAGGATGCAAAACGCATACTGGGAGCCAAGGAGCAGATGGAGAAATTGGAGGGCATGTAGGGCTGATTCGAATACGGATACCGCCCTAATCTAGGCATATTCGAGATTCATATCTGCCATAGAAATTACATCGAATAAATATTCGAAATCTGTATCCGCCTTCTAAAAGTACGTCGAATAATATCGCCGCAGATATCGCTTTCCAGTCACGTGTCACTAGAAAAAAAATTTCCTAATCGGGCTAACATGATATTATTTTCGTAACATAGTATTTGGATAGGTTAATTCTCTATCCTCAGGGGCTCAGAGGGCCCAAGACTGGCTGGCTTTCCAGGTCACAGCTTGGTGAGGATTTCACAATTTGATTTTGTACCTTGATCTATTAATCGCTTGTCTTCTATTACCTGCTATCTACTATCAAAATGGAAACTCGGGGAAACCGTCAAAACTACTTAATGCTAATGATGATGATGATGATGATGATGATGAAGAAGAAGAAGAAGAAGAAGAAGAAGAAGAAGAAGAAGAAGAAGAAGAAGAAGAAGAAGAAGAAGAAGAAGAAGAAGAAGAAGCTTTACCTGAGGATCAATGATCGAGTCCAGATACTGGTTTATCAATTCTGTCTACCTTCAGCCAGTCAGAGCTTAATACATTTCATGATATCCCTGATGTTGAGATCAACCCGTCAACTACAACAGCTGCTGATTCTTCCATTATATCTTATGCCTCCCAAAATCCCCTGCCTACAACGAACCTGTCTACAACAAACCTGCCTACGACAAAGAAAGAAGCATGGTTCTGGGCCTATTTCACTAAGCATGAGGTTCACCGAGAGTGGTATACAAAAAGCACAAGAAACGAAAGTTGATGAATACCGATATTCAATGCTCCATTATGGATCAAAAGTACTGGCAAGCAATGTTGCTGCATGACAACAGATTCAAAGAGGCAGGGTTCTACAAGCAACCTGACACTTCATCTCTTACAGAAGCATTCTATCTATCCTCTTGGTGTTTCATCCCCCGAACCAGTCAAAAACACAGGGGCAATCATGCCTAGCTTTGGGGGAAAAGAGAGGAGAATCCTACTTCCCAACAACAGCTGGAAAATGATATCCACTGGATTGTTGTTGCTAAACAATCTTTTACAACAATCGAATCTCCAGCATTCCGGCAAATCTTTCTTAACATCCCAGGGATCACGCTTCCATTTATATCCCGACATACCCTTCGGCAGCGGCTTATGGATGGCTTTATCTTACAACGTGCTCAATTGAAGGAGGAGCTTGGGGTATCTTGCAAAACAATTGCTATATCTCTTGATATCCGGACAAGCGAAAACCATCTTCCGATCCTAGAGGTAATTGGCCACTGGTTACAGAGTGCTTTGATTACCAAGAAAGGGTTCTTGAATTCAAGGCGCTTTCAGGTCCCCACAGTGGAGAAAATCTAGCTGCCGCAGTTGAAGATATGCTTGTGGAGCTTGATCTTGAATGCAAGTTGCTTACAATAACAGCCGACAATGTCAGTAATAACGAGCGGATGTTATCACAATTATCTCAGAATCTGAGGCAAAAGCTTGGAATTTATCCTTTATTCCGTGGCCCATGCAGCTATGTCCGTTGCTTGGCCCATATCTTGAATCTCATTGCCAAAGATTCCTCCGCATTTTGAAATCTGGGAATATGGAAGAAGCACATACTCTGTGTGGTAACCTCAAGGAAGGAGAACAATGGTCTATTGAGACTCAAGAACTTTTGGCAAGGCTTTGTATCCTAGCTCTCTGGATACACCGGAGTCCAACAAAGACAAAAATGAAATGAGATCTGCAAGATCATAAATCTCCCAAACAAATACATTGAATATGTTGTTGACGCACGGTGAAATTCTACAATTCGGATGTTAGATGATGCTTTGAGGCAAAATGCCAGGTTGGAAGTTTCTCCAATTGCAGACAGATTTTCCTCGATTTACGACAAAGGATTGGTTACGGCTTTCCCAAATCCACAATGTACTTTCTAAATTCAATGAGCTGACTCTCTTTGTGTCAGAAAAGAAGCCTCAGATCAGTCTTCCTGTCCCAACAGAAATACAGATAAGATAGACATCTTTTGATAGCAAAAAAAGGGCCCTATAGACTCCAGGATGAAAGAGGAAAAGAAGAGAGCGAATATAGGGGGCAGGAGCGACAGCAGAAGTGCTGGGCAGTCACGAATGGCTTTTCGTGTGGGAAAATGGCAGAATGGGCATGGCGGTTAGGTACTGTACTGGCGGCGTTACTTACCTATGTACATAGCTGAAGTTGAAAGAATCTCCTTTCTTTCTCGTCCTCTTCTTCTTCCGCTCCATTCTCCATTAGATAAATATTTATTATAATATCAGGTGCTTATCAACCCCAACCTGATCCAAAGTCAGTCTTCGACAAGGGTTAAGGATCTAACTTCTAAGCAAATATTGGACTTTGCTTGCTATAACGGCGCCTATAACTCGGCTCCTCCCATAGAGAGTATAACGGTGCCTACAATTCGGCTCCTTCCATATAGAGCTGCAGTTGGTTAGGCACTAACGTACATGCCCACCATGAACTCAACTTCCTCTTCACTACCATCAAAGTCCTTTACCCCTCCATCTTGACCTTCATATCTCCTCTCACAGTCATCTACATTACCCTCTGCCACACGACGGCAATACACTGTACTCATCATGCTAGGCCCATGTACCTATGAGCGTGGTAATTACAAGTGTCTATGCACCCAGGGGATAGTCCCTGAGATCACCAACTCGAATTTCAATGATGCTCAGACCTGTGACACATGCTTGCATCCAATAGCCATGCACCTTGATTATGGCTAGTTCCTTATACCTCCTATAAGTTGAGGCTCTGTGGCTATTGCACACTTAGCTCGTCCAGGCCCCTCCTGCTACTACTGCTCCTTCTTTCTCCGGGAACGCTTCGCCTGATAACACCACTTCTGGCAATCATCCACCAAAAAGGAGAACCAGGCCTTATAGTAAATTGTTCCTGATTGAAAAGTACATAGAGGTAATCTTATTCTTTCACAGATCTCTCAAGTCAGGTTCATCCTCGGATAAAATCGGTCAATGAGTTGATAGAGCGACTTCATTACTATCATATCATTCGGGTGCGCGGCACACCAGCTTCCAGGAAAACGACTTTGATGAACATTGTGGTCAATCAATTGTTTGAGAGTTCATGGCAAAGAAAAGCCTATTTATGTCTTACAGATTGGAATGAGAGGATAATTAGAGGACAAGGCGGCTGGGATGCATATTTAGAGCAGGAGACGGGTGTCCATGGTGACCAGTGGCTCACCTACTCGGCCTATCTGGTTATAGATGAGGCAAAAGAGTCGTACTGGGATGGCGCACTGGGGCAGATCTCTTCAAGCGTATTGAACTTGATTCCAGCCCATACATCCTCCTCTTCACATCATACGGCTCACCAGGTAGGGGCTTTGGGGATTCAACGAGGGGAAACATAGAAAAACTCCTTTAATATTTGCTCCTGAGCTGCAGATATCACTGCAGACATATGAAAATGTCAGAGGCTATAACCTGTTTCGAGCACCTTTTTTGACACCAGTTGGCCTGCTACTTGACAAGGATGAAGTAATGGATGTGGTAACACTAATCACAAAACAAATGCAGTCACGTCCGTCTCTAACAGGACCTCAAGGAGGGACTTGTTTTATTCAGTGATGGGCATATAGGATTGCTCAAAAGTCTGCTAAGTGCCCTAAGCAGTATACAGGTAAGTATTCCCTATTGGTTACAATCCAGATATGGAATTCCCTCTCACATGGATCTTTCAATAGGATATCTATGACATTCTACGGAAAGGCAGGACGCTTGATTGGCAGACCATGGCTAGAATCCTCTTTGGTCAACCTCGAGTGTTCTTCCGACATCTTTCTACCTAGCCATTTGCTCGGGGCTTGCCTAGACCTGATGAAACACAATCAGGCGATGCAATCAGAGTTTTTAAAAAGACTATCCTTTACCATGGTGCCCTGAGGTCTGAAGCTGAAAAGGAAGATCCGGAATTCCAACAAGCTCTTGAGAACATTTGTCGCAATGGATGGCTGCATGAAGAGAGATCAGGTCAGGATTCTCATTATGTATTTGCCAGTCCAATACACTGGTGGTAGGTGCCTATTCAAGCCGCGTTACTTTTTTTTTTTTTTTTTTTTTTTTTTTTTTTTTTTTTTTTTTTTTTTGGTGGCCCTGCTGATAGGCCACTCTCTAGGTATTGTAACATCATTTACATGGATGCAAAGCGTGATAATGAAATCAGACACAGCACACCACTTGATCTGACAATTGATGCCATTAAGCATTTCAGACCCTCTCAGCTGTCAGATGCCCCCCGCTCAGTGAAAGGAAGTACATCTCCCATTGAGGACCAATATCAAAAAGAATTTTGCCGCTGCCTAATACCAATAGTAGTAGTAGTATTAATAGATTCCTCAAGTCTTTACTGACCTGTTAACTAATACATCCATTCTATTATACACGAGATGGGTATCTTCTATAAAACCCAATCGTGACAATAGCCATACCAACCACTCCTTCAACTTCTACGCCTCCAACACCTCAGTCATCTCACTATGAGCCTTAACCATAGCATCATCCCCACCCTCCCCAGTCTTTAGGAACGTACTCATCTCTCTAACCGACTTCTTCCCAACATAACAGCAACCAATCTACCAAATCCCAACGCCAATCCCACATATAGCGGAAATATAGCCCTAAGCCCATCAAGCAGGTTCTCAGAATTCACAAGCCGCTTAGGCCGCATCTGGAGGGTATCGCAGAGGATAATCTCCTGCACCGCAGCATTGTGGATATGGCGACTGCCTCTGCCTAGTTTGACGCCGCTGATCACAAGGCCATGGTGGTCTGCTATGACTTTGGTGGAATTAGAATCATGTGTCAGCCGTGAGTGTGGCAAATAAACTGTGCAACCAGTTCTTCTACACCAATTAATTCTCCTTCACCTGCAGGTTAGGGAAGGCTGAGTTGTCGTCTGTGCATCCAGAACTCTGACAGAAGGAGTCAAGAATGTAGTCAAAGTGGAAATGGCTGATGCTGCTGCACTAACAATTGGAATACAATAATTATCAGGTCATTCTTCGAACAAGGCAATCAATCGTAGTGTTGTAAGCATGAACATGGCAGTGATATTCATAGGAAACCGACCCATCAGGGGACGCTCAGCCAGTGGGGTATGAGGGCTTGAGAATGATGTGATTAAAAATTACGGTCGACCATTCAATTTACAGGGCATCACTGTGTCTAAAACATTATTCTCTGTTAGCAGAGCTTTTCAACATGAGTGGGGGGACTATACTGGTGTGAAAGACTGCAATGATTATGACTGCATCCAGCAAAAAGGAGGTGGCGCAATGAGAGGGCCTACACAGAAATCAAATAGCAAAAATGCCTCACCAAGCTTAGAGGCGGTACGGGCGAAAAATGAAAGGAAAACAGCACAAATTTGGTCGAAGTTGAAGCAGCGATGGAGGGCGACTTTATAGAGCACGCACAGCGATGCCAAGCGGCAATGGGACGCTAAACATAAACAGGCACGCTATACCACTTCTAGTAATTCAGCGTCACCCAAAAGCCCGGACCGGAGCAGATTACTGCACATACTGATGTTAATGTCACGTGACATTATTGAAAGGAGAGCATACCCCTAGGTACTCACTGCATACCCCGTACCTATGGGAACTTATGATTCCTTGCATCTGCCCGGCATAAAATGTAGCGAATGCTTGTAGGATTCCTTCGTACTATGGGCGGGAATGCGATTGCTCGATTACATAGCTATCACTTCTGATCCCGGTGATTTGATAACCTCGCTCGCTGATTGGCTGCCGCTCGCGGTTACCCCATACTGGGCCAGCGCTGTACAACAATATGTCAAATGTCAACACAGACACTTACCAAGAATAAGGTGTCTACGGAGTACGGTCCATCGTAAATAGAGCATCCCTGAAGAATTTCTAACGTCCCTATCATGTCTCCACCCCTGCAGATGCATTACTCCGTAGGAAATCCATGTAAACCGCAATGCCACAAAGAAACGGTTTTATTGCAAACGAATTGGTATGGTGATAATTTACAGAAAGCACGCGAACAAACACTTCCAACCGTTCCTTCTCATGATGCTGGTACCTGTGTCGTGGGGACGTCAAAGCCATATGCTTCCTTGATTCTCTCACGCCGTCTCTCCGCGTAGCCGGGGCCGTAGAGACCTATATCATACCAGTTAGCATTGCCCCCCTATCATTTATATATAGACCACATACCTCGTCCCTCACCCAGCTCGGCCAAAGTCTGTTCCCCGGGAATCCGGTAGTTCTTCCGCAATTGTGTACGGCGCTCAAATTCGTCGACCGAGAGGTCCTTGTCTCTCTTGTAACCCCACAGACCGCCAGCGTAGTTAAATCCGCTCATACCAATGGCCAAGCCAGCGCCGTAGCCCATCAGGGCGGGGAATGTCCGGGCTACAACGAATATATGATCAGAAACAAGTTTAACAGAGCGGGATATCTGAAAAGCAAAGAGGAAGTAGGTACGCACCTCGCAGACCCAGAATGGCACCAGAGAAGAAACCTCCAATTGCAACGTTCCAGTGGTCTTCTTTCTCTCGCAGGTTGGCCGATGCGGTCTTCACGAACTCATAGGTACCACCCATGGCCGCTACAATCATTCCTCGTTAGCCACCATTCTTAATCACCCTATTGTACTCCTTCCACAAAAACCAGGATAACCATTTCCATACCAAAAATACCGATCGTGCTGCCGCTCTTGAAGAAGACACCCAGTGGTCCAACATTCTGCTTGGTCAAGGTGTTCTGCACGGCGGCCGCGAAGAGACCAACCCCACCAGTGAGGGTGGTCGCCTTCATTGCCGAACCGATCGCATCGTGCGGGTGGTAGTGGGTTTCTGTGTGTTCCGGGCCCATCGTGGCTGTCGAGGTTGCGGAGGGATGGTGGACGATCTGGCTGCTATCGTATTTCGTTGTTGGCCGGCGGTCCGATGATTGATTCGGAATTTGGAAGGGCGGGTTCTGCCATGATACACCGCTTTCCTGGAGCTACAATGAAGCTCCATGGAGAGCGCTAAATAACTACAACCTTGTACAGTTCGTTGCATACTCTCAAGTGCAAAGATATCGTTTACTTGTCAGCCTTTTTGTTGTCAACTTCCATCAACGTTTATTGCCTTGCGCTGTGGTGGTGTTGAATACTGCTATCGTGCCGCCTCCGCCCAAGTGTGGTGAGCTAGCTCCCCGCTATCTGCGAAGTGTATAAATGCCCAGTGCTTATTGATAACGCCAGTCTCATTTGCAATACTACCTGAAGCGCTCTTATTGGTTCTATGGATGAGCGTTACTTTGTTTGATCGGTTGCTCGTCTAGCCTGACCTTCTGAATCTGTGAGCTCACAAGAGCCTCCCGATGTCATCTCTGCAGAGGTCCGGTATGTATCTCCCTGGTTCCAGCCAGCCTGTCGCCAACCGAGGGCATGTACTAATTTCATCGAATTACTATATTACAGGCAAGACTGCCCCCCGTCTTGTACAGGATGTTCAAGACTACGATCCCGCCCATCCTCCGGGCACCGGCCGCAACTTGCTCTCTGACGTGCCTCCGGTATACCCTGAACACTACAACGGCCCGCAAGACTTCATCTCGTCGCTAGCATGTCGCCATCAGTATGCGCGAAAAGAAATGCAGACATTCCTCTCTCAGCCGGATCAGAGAAGGAATACTGGAACACCTTCGAGAGTCTCAGCGATGTGTACCAAGTGTCGGACCCATCTCCAGGTCGTCGTGAATTACGCTGGCGCAATCGGTCAATCTGGACAAAACCTCTCCGGTCACATCCATCATTTCGTCTACAAGTCAGGCAGGCAGAGGGGCGGTGCTTCACCCGTCGAGGTGACACCCAAGGGCCAGGTCGCGGAATCATTTCACTACGAATGCTCGTATCTGTCGTGCTCCGCGGCGGCGTCCATTCGTGTCCTTAGCCCCGTCCTCGCGGACGATCGGGTGCGACTGTTAACCGATGTGGACTTGCTGGCGGAGCGGACAGACGCGGCAATTGCTGCGTATCCGGAGCGTATGGAGGGAATCGCTCGGCCGCCTCCTATTAACGTGCTGGCAAATTTGCGCATATATATCACCAATGCCATTCGCGATGTCCAGCACAGCATGTCAATTTCGGCCGTCAACAAAAGATTCATGGCCTGCTTTGGTGTTGAGGGGCGACCATGTGGAGAGTTGCTGGAATTCCTGGGTTTCACATTCAAGGTAGGTACCTATTTTGGTAATCTATTAGAGACAGAACTGGTTCTAATGCAAACAAGGAGGCTGAAGGCCTCTGGGACCCTCCCCGACCAAACCCATGGGCAGAATACCCGTACCAGGATCAGCAAAAGATTTTCCTTGACGATATTGCGCATGAGCTGGCAGCGCTTATGGAGCAGCGTCCACCATTGGAAAGAAGAGGCAACAAAATAGATCCTATTGGCCCCTCAGCATCAGATGATCTCCTTGATGCGTTAGAAGCTTTAGCCTGTGAGTATATATCTCACTTCCCAACTGCGCATAGCTAACCTGTAAATAGATCCTAAAACATCAAGATCAAGCGAGTTCCCCATGGCACCCGCACCGTTTGTCTACCTTCAAGCTTTATGATTCTTAACATCAGTCTGACCACTTACCCAGGTATTACGAGGACTTGGGAGCCGTCGAGAACATGTCATCGACCCTTGTCGTGGACGCCTTCAATCGACAAGTCTCAGTAGATCCGGGAAGAACGTCGCTTTACCTCCAATGTTTGAAAGCTATCGGTGAGCTCAGAGGTGGAGAAGATGGAGCCATCATCGATCAAGCTGTCCAAGTCGCCTATGCGGAAGGAAAGTATACCGACGACGACATAGTCACTGCATATCGTTATTTTGGCCTCAGCCACGATGATACCCGTCTCACTGAAGACAGTATCATTGGAAAGTTCTATGCTTTCTTGAGCTCTACTAACCAGGAGACTGAAAGCCGGACGCAGCTATGGAGGATAGGAGACAGTAGGCAGAGTGAACGCATCAAGTCCGCGGCAGAGGACAGTAAGTTCTCTGTACAAGTGAATTACAGGCTATCTTTGATAATTGACTGGTGGAAATAGAAGTTTCGAATGCCGAGCAAGCCCAGGTCTTCCTTGGAGTTGATGACAAGACGGCCGATGATTTCATCATCACCATGTATACGGCAAAGGTATTATTCTCAGACACTTTCACCGTCTAAATCACGAAACTGATGGTTGCATTAGGTGAATGACAACCCCGCAACCAGAGACCTTGCACGAAGGGCTGTTGATCTCATTGCCCAATCTCGAAAATCAGAAGGCTTGAAACACTTCCTTCAAACCGGCGAGGCGGGTGCTGGTGAAATGGACGTCGCAGATGCCTACCGTCTCCTACAGATTCCGGACCGCACCATCGACGATGGGGCAATCATGGCAGCATATACGATCTGCATTGACGAAGCTCCGGCTCAGGCTGAGACATACAACCGCGCTCTGTGTCTCATAGCACAGGACAAGAACAGTTCATTGCTGAGCAGCATGGTCCCGGGTGCTGCTGTACAACCTGGGCGAAATATATCGGAATGGCCTGTTGGGTTGCAGAATATTGGCAATACCTGCTACCTCAACAGCTTGCTCCAGTTCTACTTCTCAGTGCTTCCGTTCCGTGAGATGGTGCTTGATTTCGAAAGCTTTTGCATGAAGATGGATGATGAGGGTATAGACAAAAAGCAAGTCGGGTCACGTAAAATACAGAAACAAGAGGTGGAACGCTCCCAAAAGTGTAAGTTTAGCGATACAGAGAGCAGGCTGCAGATGCTGACCTTGGCCTAGTTCTTCGAGAACTGCGAATTTTATTCAATGATATGATAAACTCCTCCAATCCTTATGTGATTCCAGGGCAAGAATTGGCACGATTGACTTTGATCGGCCCGTCCAACGAGGCCGCAATTCGTCGCCGATCAACGATATCCGCAGGTAGGCCTTCAGGCCTCGGGGAAATTAGCGGGATGCCGATCCTGGGCCCTCTCGGCCCCCCACAGACTACTACTGAGGAATCCGAGAAAAGAGGTCCCAGCGAGAACCCTGCCATCGCCGAGGCAGAGAGGCCCCAGCGACCTATAAGCGACGGTGGTAGTGAGGCTACTCTTGTATCCGAAACCACAAAGCAGGATACACCAGCCGTCCCCGCAGATGATCAACAGAATGCATCCCAGCAGACGGATGTTGTCATGACAGATCCGAGCAGCGACAATGCACCTGAGGCTACTTACGATGACGATAGCCATCCATTTGAGCCAGCGACAGCTCCAATCGCACAGCCTAGTCAACCTCCGCCAGTTCCTCCTCGGCCTACTCCGCAGGTAGATCCGCGTAAGCAGCTTATAGAAGAGGTGGAAATCGGAGCTCAGCAAGACGTGACGGAAGTGATCAATAATGTTCTTTTCCAAAGCCAGTGTGCCATCAGGCCCCTCGGGATTGCACCTGATGGTGAGCAGGTCGACCAGATCAAAGAGTATGCTCGTCTTTATCAGATTACTTGATACTCAGCTGATAATCTCCGCAGCTTGTTCTACGGACGGACCAAATCTTATCTCTCTACTACGAAAAATGTCCGCTCTAGGGAAGAATGGTGGTGCGATATCAAAGTCGACGTTGCAACCGGATCCCGTGATATATACGCGGCAATTGATGGCGCATTCGATGTCCAGAAGGTCAATATTGACAACTCCATAGCCGAACAATACGGTGCCATCAGCAAATTGCCCCCGGTGCTTCAAGTACAAGTACAGCGTGTTCAATTCGACCCGGTAAAGAAAAGTTCTTTCAAATCCACTCATCATCTCGACTTGAAGGAAACGATATACCTTGATCGGTACATGGATACGCAGCACCCTGAGATTCTGAAACGACGAGAGCAGTCCTGGGAGTGGAAGAAATCATTGAGGAAATTGGAAGCTCGACGAGCAGAGTTGTTGCGCAAGAACGTATGTTCATGCTGCCCCCTGTATCATCTATGTGCATTACTAACCATTATCTGTTATTGCAGGAGAGCGATGGGCTTGATATGCCGACACTGTTTAGTAGCACCAAAGACTTGCTCGATGATCTCAACTCGATGAAGGAAGACCCAGAGGCTGCACAGGACGCACTGGATATCAACCCACAGCTCGCGTCCGAATTTGGGCAATTTTCTCAAATTACACAAACCGAGCTGAGTCGTAAGTTTATACTGCAAATCCACCAGCGCCCTAGGGCTATGCTGACCATAACCTAGACATCGAGAAAGAGATCAGAGACACGCAAACAATGATATCGAATCAGTTTGCCGAGTACAGACATCTGGCCTATCGATTGCATGCCGTCTTCGTTCATCGCGGCTCAGTGAGCTTCGGGCATTACTGGATATACATCTACGACTTCAAGAAAAATATCTGGCGCAAATACAACGACAGCGAAGTCACAGAAATCCAAGATCCATCCGAAATCTTCCAAGATCGACAAGAACAGAACCCACCTACCCCATATTTCCTTGTATACGTCAATGACACCATGAAGGACCGATTAGTCAACCCTGTCTGTCGGGAGATTGTCGACCGCCAATCGAATGTTCAATCATTCCCCGAAACAGATCAAGATACCGCTATGCAAAAAGCTATCATGGCTTCACAGCAGCCGACAGAAGGAGACGTCAATATGGATCCGCCAGCGTACAACGAAACATGGGCTGGGAGCGGTGGCGCACCAGGTACGGGGGCTGACCTCCTCCCCTCCTTGGCTCAAGAGAAGAGAGCTGATGGCAATGAAGAGAAACGGTGGTCCAATACCCAGACTAACACAAACGATCCGCAGTAGTAGATACTCAAAAGATGTCCTTTTCGCCTCCCATGGACACAACTGCGAATAATCCGTTGAAGCGCAAAGGGGTAGATGAGGTGGAGAACAGCAACGACTATATCCGGGTGGATTTAACATGATTATATCTTTCTTTTCCCACAGTTTTTTGCTGTTTACTTGTCCAAAGGATGTGTTCTATGAACTTGCTTTTTTCTTGAATTGTATAATGCTCGCCAGGAGATGATGATATGTATGTATGACATGATATGTTTCCTTTGCATGCTAGAGGGGTCACGACTTGTTTTGCCTGTACATAACGGAAGATACCATCATGTTATGACCGTTTACATGGATGTCCATGGTACCGATAGTGTTAGATGGCGACGATAATTAAACTCCGATATGCACTCCGAATCGGAGCCGGCACGTGTAGTCGGCAACCAAGCGCGGAATGACGGACCGAGATATAGTTATCCTTGTTTATAAACAGCCTTGTAATTAGGATTGAAAGTACGAACTTCGGGGGTTGTATAAGCATAGTGATAGAAGAAACAGGGGAATGTATCTAAGCATAAAATAACTAACATCCTCTCTAATATCCGCTGGATAATACAGTCAGTTGTTCTGTCAATACAATGCGGGGGTTTTCCGGGGTATGCGGAGAGCCGGGTCCGGCCACTTTCCGCTGTGTCGCAGCGGGTGTATATAAAGCCCGCTTCTCCTCATATCATCTTACCTGTTTATCATCGTGTTTGCCTGTCTGTCAATAGTCCTTGTATAGTGTGATACACCCGACGGACCCATACATAAACGATCGTCATGTCTTCACAACTTGCGACCTGCCTGCGCATCGCCAGGCAGTTTTCGACTGACCCCAGCAAGGTAAGAAAACAATTCGTCTCTCCGTTTATTCACAGTCGCTAACTTCAAATAGCACCAGAAATTCCTCGCCCGTACATTCTCCAGCAGCGCCCGCCGCTATGAAATCAACAAGGTCGTCGGATCTGCCGACCTAGCCATCAAAGACATGAAATCCAACTCCACCCTCCTGGCAGGCGGTTTCGGTCTCTCCGGTGTCCCCGATACCCTCATCAATGCCGTCCGCGCAAACCCCTCAATTACAGGCCTGACGGCAGTCAGCAACAACGCCGGTGTCGACGGCTCGGGCCTGGGTCTACTCCTGCAGTCCAAGCAGATCCGGAAGATGATTGCCAGTTACGTCGGCGAGAACAAGACTTTCGAGCGGATGTATCTGACCGGTGAAATTGAGATGGAGTTGACCCCGCAGGGCACGCTGGCAGAGCGGTGCCGCTCTGGCGGTGCTGGCATTCCTGCTTTCTACACGCCTGCTGCATTTGGAACGGTTGTGCAGACAGGTGACTTGCCGTTGAAACATAATTCTGATGGAACTGTGGCGCTGTACAGCAAGGCGCGGGATGTCAAGGTGTTTGACAACAAGAGCTATGTCATGGAGGAAGCTATCAAGGGTGACTATGCATTCGTGAAGGCGTGGAAAGCGGATAAGCTGGGTAACTGCCAGTTCCGCTATGCGGCGGCCAACTTCAACGGTGCTATGGGTCGTAACGCTAAGATGACTATTGTCGAGGCTGAGAACATCGTTGAGGTCGGTGAGATTGACCCCGCGGCTGTGCACTTGCCTGGTATCTACGTCAAGCGTGTGATCCAGAGCACTACAGACAAGAAGATTGAAAAGTACACCTTCGCCAAGGAGGAGGGTGAAGAGCAGAGTGCTGCAGCCTTGGGCAAGGGCGACACTGCCAGCAAGCGTGAGCGTATTGTCCGTCGTGCGGCCAAGGAGTTCAAGAACGGCATGTACGCCAACTTGGGTATTGGTATGCCCATGCTGGCTCCTAACTTCGTCGACCCCTCCGTCGAGGTCATGCTTCAGTCGGAGAACGGTATTCTGGGATTGGGCCCTTACCCTAAGAAGGGCCAGGAGGACCCGGATCTTATTAATGCTGGTAAGGAGACGGTTACTCTTCTGCCCGGTGCAGCCGTCTTTGGCAGCGACGAGTCCTTCGGTATGATCCGGTCTGGCCGTGTCAACTTGACCATCCTGGGTGCTATGCAAGTTAGCGCTAATGGTGACCTTGCAAACTGTAAGATCCCATCTCCCCATTCAATTCCTGCAGGATAACGAAGCTAACTATATTAGGGATGCTTCCCGGCAAGATAAAGGGCTTCGGCGGTGCCATGGACCTCGTTTCCAACCCTTCCGCCACCAAGGTTGTCGTGACCATGGAGCATACCGACAAGAAGGGCAACCCCAAGATCGTCAAGAAATGCGAGTTCCCCTTGACCGGCAAGACCTGCGTCAGCCGTATCATCACTGAACTTTGCGTTTTCGACGTCGACTTCACCAACGGTTTGACTCTAATCGAGCTTGCTGACGGTGTTACCGTTGACGAGGTCAAGTCCAAGACTGAGGCTCCGTTCAAGGTTGCTGATGACTTGAAGCCTATGCTGTAAGATGTTTTTTTTTCTCTGATGAGATGATATCCATGGTTGTTTGCATGTTTTAAAAGGATTATTGAGCGTGTATGGATTTGTTGGTTGATCGATTGCATTCGACTGTATATCCTTGATTGTTTATGAGTTATGTATTTTGTTAGCAGATGTATATACCTGGCAATATAAACCATTGCCAAACCATACTATGAGTTGCATAGTAGAGCAGTCTTTTCTCATTCCTATTCATACATCCAGTAAAGAGTATTATACATCATAAACGACATTTTAAATACCATAACCCGTAAGAACAAAACACACCATAAACCGCTTAAGAAAACCTAAGCAATCCCTTCAACCTTTTCCCCAACCTCCCAAACCAATCCCTCTCCGGCGCCTCCTCAAACTCCCTAACCACATTGTCATAATGATCTGGGCTACTAGCCGGCCTGCGCAGCTTCTGCGACAACGGATACCGTCTTGTATATCTATCTTCCAACAACGAGGACAATGCATTCAAGGACGCTTCGGACATTTCTTGCGGTTGTTGATTCTGGGGTAGGTGCTGTTGTTGCTGCGATGCTGCAGCATTTTGGGTAGAGGCTTGTGAGACGCGGGTTTGCAGGTAGGTTTGGACTGAGACTGAAGCTGGACGGACGGGGTCGGAGGGCCAGTGGGAGAGGAGGTGGGAGATGCGGGTTTGGAGGGTTTGTGGACGGACCTGGTTGCTGTTAGTGTTGATTCTATAGTGGTCATGGGTTTAACTTACTGGTGGCTTTGACATGGTTACGGCTGTTTATGTTAATTATTTAAGTTGAGCAGTGTGAGAAAGGAGTATTGACTGAATTAAGTTAGATGATAATTGTGACCAAGAGGATTGGATATGCGGCGATGAAGTAAATATGCCTCAGGCATGGATTGATAAGGCTACAAGGCACCAAGGCACCAAACCCTCCCCATCTCCCTTCTGCATCGCCATCCTGAGCCATCCATCATCGTCCTCGCCGCCAGTAACTCGTTCTCTCGTTTTCTATCCATCTCCCGAACCTCCCCTAGCGCCTTCTACGTCTCCTTTGTGTATTAGCTTAATCTACGCTCCCACAGACTCTCCTTTTCTTTCCATCTCTGCCTCGCTCGCTCATCATGAGCTCGCAGCGTTATCAACGGGTAAGTCTCCGCCGCTGATCTGGATGGATCACATCACGACAATCGCCATACTCTCAAGTCCTATTCTCTCTCGGATGCGGTTCATTCGACTTAGAAACTGACAAAAAGACTGGGTTTAGGTAAATGCCCATGACGAAGATGACCCAAATCCCTACCCGTCGAATCCGTCCCGGTCGAACTCGCACCTCACTCCATCCTCTCCACCTCCCTCGTTCCACTCTCGCTCTTCCTCGCCTTCCTCTAGACGCCTTTTAAACAATGACACTCGCCGGGCCGACGATGCGGACCAGACTCTTGCCGATGCGTTCGACGATGGGAGCGACTCGGAGGTTGAAAATGAGCCTGATGATAGGCAGCGCTTAATGCGGGCGAACCCCGAGCCGCAATTTATTGCCGGTGGTAGCGACTACAACAACGATGACAACGGGAACGGTAACAGTAGTGCCGCCGCGTCTTCGTCGAGCCAAGGGGGAGGACAAGGACAACAGCAGCAGGATCAGACACAGCAGCAGGGTCGGGGGATCTTTAGAAGGCTGACCATCCTTCCGTCATTTACGCCTTCATCTTCTGCGCCGGGCCGTGTGATCGGATCGAATGATGGCGTGTTTGCGAATTTGGCGGCTAAGCCTGAGAGGGGTGAGAAGAATGAGGATTTGCCTCCGGTGGGTCTCTTTGTTGTCTTTTTTTTTTTCTTTTGTATTCTCTTGAGCGTTGCTAATCCATGTTAGTCCTACGAAGAAGCAGCCGCCGATGCGACTCCGCCGTACTGGGAAACTACTATCTTGGCGCCTGGCATTTCGTCTGATGAGGTGTTCGTGGACGGACTGCCGGTTGGGTCGATCTTCTCCTTTGTCTGGAACGCCATGATTTCGATGTCTTTCCAACTGGTCGGATTCCTCCTCACTTACCTCTTACACACAACACACGCAGCCAAGAACGGAAGCAGAGCTGGTCTCGGCCTTACCCTCGTGCAGTATGGATTCTACATGAAAGGCGGGAGCGATACAAAACCGGAAGATGGCAGTGATGCGGACCAATATACCAACCCTCCAGACCCGAACAGCCACAATTTCGATCCCGATGCTGTGACAGACGGTTCTGGTGGCGATGGCAGTGGTGCTATGTCTGCTATTAGCACTAGCGAGTGGATCTCCTACGTCCTGATGATCGTCGGTTGGTTTATTCTGATCCGCGCCATCAGTGATTTCTTGCGGGCCCGACGCCACGAGCAGCTTGTATTACAGAGCCCTGACCGTGGGCTCGGCGTTCCAGTTATCGCGGAGGGCGAGAGAGCAGAGACGGTGGTTTGATACACTTGGCAAACAACAATCAAATGGGTTTCTTCTTGGGACAGTACAGTCATTATTCTTGCGTATAGGTTGGGAATTTCATTGGGAGCATGGAGTTATAAACATTTGTTTGTATGGATATGGTTGGGTTTAATATCATACGGGGACATTATCTGCCGGCTTTCACTTCATTCAATTTCCCATTTGTTATTTGGACGTGCCGTCTTTCTTTTCTTCTGTTTGTTTCCTTTTTATATATGTTTGATACTTGGGATTGCGCATTCAGCACACTAAGCATACCATGTAGTTATATTCGTTGGGAAGAGATACCAATCAAGACGGATACTGTTTTTGCTGACGCTTGTTTTGTTGGCCCCCCCCCCGGTGCCTGAGGCTGTGCCCACTTGTCGCCTCTCGTCGGGTTGTCATAGGCAGCTTTTTTTTTTTTTTTTTTTCGATTCATTCCTTTTCCTGTGACTGTATCCTCCACTGTTTTTATTCTTCTTCTTCTTCTTCTTCTCAGCCTCAGCCTCAGCCTTCTACATCGTCGTCTTCTGATCATCAGCATCGCTCACTCTTTCTTGGCATCTCTCCGCAGGTCTCCGGACAACTGCAGAAAACCCAACTCTTTCTCTCTTGCGGACGGAACCTTTCTCCATTTTCCCAAGAGCTACGACAAAATCCGGCACAGACCATCCCTTGCACGCTTCCATCCATATTCCGACGTTCTTCCACAGTCTTTCTGGAATAAATGGCGGTGGACGGGGGTTCCATTTCGTCCTCCGCGCCGCCGAACCATGGCATGGCTCAGGGACCCGTCGAAGCTCGTTCGCTGTCGTCGATTACGGGCATCGCGTCAAATCCCCCATCATACCCACGAAATCCCACGCAGAAGAAGCTAGATCCGTTGGAATTGTATATTGTGAGGGTCCCTGGGAGTAAAGGTAGGCTAGCGTCGCAAACGCAAAGCACATGTTTGCCCCGCATGTTTATGGGAAACTTTTGCTTTTCTCTTTGATTTTGATGATAAGATAGATGAATGGCTAATGTTTGCTTTTTCTTCATGCATAGATGTGTTTCTTTCCCCTCTCAAGCCGCCGACCAAAGATAGCGTTTCCGCAGAAGCTATCAATGCCTCTCTTTATTACCTGCACGTCGCGACACCGGAGGATGAGGCCTTGCTACATGAAGTGGAAGAGGAACGGGAAGAAGAGGCCATTTTGCGCAGGGAGATGTTTGGTGATGAAGCAGAGTCTGGTCCAATGCGGCAAGAGTTTGCGCGATTGAATAATGTACGACGGAAGCCGGTCCCTGGTGGTGCTCCTACCGTTGATACTGGCAATGCGGATGCGAATTCGATTACCGCCTCTCCCCCGCCATCTTTGCCCTCGCAGGAAAACATTCCCCCCACCGTCCCCGTGCATCAGCTTCAAGTGTCGTCTCCCACTCCCTTTGCGAAGAGTGCGCCAGACACCGAACTTCCAAAAGAAGCCGGCCACCGAGTACAGTTTATGGAACGGAAACCTACTATAAAGCGGAAACCTACGATACGGAGTCCTACACCACAGCGACCACCTCCTACTATTCCGAATGAAGAGCCCTTAAAGACCACGGAGAGCGGTCACCCGGCTAAGAGAAATAACCGGTGGAGCGCGATGGCAGGATATGTGAACAGACCAGGGCTTGAGAACTGGAAGGAAGCATTATCGAACAATCGACACAGCTTGGATTCCAGACGGACGGAATTGAGGCCACCATCGTCCCATGAATCGCCGCGAAGAAGCCCAGGGCTTTCGCCTAGTCGGAGATCGCACGACAGCAGGTCTCCGGATCCCAGTCCTGGTTTTCACATTACGCTCATTCGACGAGATCCTACGCATGGAACGCAATGGAATGTAGCAACGATCTCCACTCAGCGGTTGGATGAAGGCGTGATGGATCTAGAGATTTCGACGCCAGGATACAACCGTTTCCTTGCGCAGGATGAGCCGATATCTCTTGCGAGTCTGGGGTTGAATACAGACAAAATGAATGGTCCATCGTTTTCCGCACTCCAAGCCCTTCAACAACAAGCTGAATCCCATGGACCTGTTCCGCACAACGATACCCCCAACGATAACAGCTCACAAGAACCACCCGGCCCTAAGAGATTCCGTCGGAAGTTATGCGTCTCAAGACCGTTGCAAGACGAAGGACGAGGCTCAATCGACCAACAATCTGCACCACGCGGCTCCATCGACAGCACCGGTCCGGGCAGTCCGCCACCAAAGTCGCAAAATGGAAGTCTCTCCAAGCTCAAGAGCGGCTACTACACCTTCAACTCGCCCTGGAATGGTGTCTGCACATTCTCAACGAGCGTGAACGGCCGCAGTCTGAAATGCAAACATATGATTCCTCTCCAGGCGCCTGCCGGTTTCTCCTCGACTTCCACGCAGACAGTGGGGACCAGCCCAGCCGTAACAGTCGCCGAAATCCGCTTCAACACACCTTTCCAGCCCGGCCATCTCCACCACCAACCTAATCCCACACATCTCTCCCCTTGGCAGCTCAGCCAGACATCCACCTTCGCCAACCCCCATGCCGAACCCAACGACCAACCCTTATCCACCACCCCCAGCAACATCCCCTCGGAACAACAATCCCCACCGCTACAACCAGCAAACCCAACCTCCAAACGCGCCTCCCTCGCCCAAATCCTCAACCCCAATCGCCCTCGCGCCCACACCACCAACAACGCGCTAGGAAACATCGGCCTAACCCGCAAACCCTCCACCGCCAGCACGGCCAGCAAAAGCAGCGACGATCCCGATCGTTTGGACTTCTCGCTTGCTCGCGAACGTGCTGGTGGGGGGATGCGCGGGAAGAGTGCTAAGTTGGGGAAGTTAGTGGTTGAGGATGAAGGGATTAAAATGTTGGATTTGGTGGTTGCGGCTTGTATGGGGGTTTGGTGGAGGGGGTATTATTATTGATTGTACCAGGGTGTTGACTATTGACTTTTCGTTTCCCTTGGTTTGGTCTTTTGCGTTGCATACAAGCTTCGAGGTTTTGTTTCTTCATTTGTCTTGTTTTGAAGCTGGAGTTGTACGATCTTATGATTTACGAGCGATGTGTCTTTTGTATTTATTTGCATTTCTGGAATATATAGCCTAGTCATTTGGTTTATCCTTTACCGGCAGATACTATATAGACCTGGTAATAATATTTTTTTATTCTCTATCAACGAATAGTTCACCAAGAATCATGCAGATGTATATGCACCATACCCTAGAAGCAACAGCGCTTGTATACATAGACAGCGATATAGAAAAAGACAATACAAAAACAAAACAAAAAAAAGAAAAAACTATTTTCTATTCATAAATGACAAAAATGCAGCAGATTGAAGAAACGGAAAGTAGACACAATCGAGTTTATATGAGATGAACATACTGGGAACCGCCCCGCGACTCCAGAATAATATTCCAACAAGCTCCAAAAACAAATCAACGATGATGAGCATCCATTCCCCGCGCTAGTGACGCCTCAAGATCACTAGCAGGACCCCCACCCCCAGCAGCCTCCTGAGGCTTGGGTTCTTCATGCTTCCAGCCACCATTCTGGCCCTCGGGGATCGGAACGTTGCCGAGTTGTTGCTGCTGTGCGGCGACAGCAGCAGCGTGCGCCTGGGATTGTTGCCTCACAGCAGCGCGGAAGTTGACGACTTCCTCGTAGATCATTTTGCGCATCTGAGCGACGTCCTCGACGACTTCAAAGTGGAAGTCGAAGGTCGTGGGGCAGGCGGGTTCGTCTGAGGCATCGTGCCAGATGTGCAGGTAGGGATGCTCGAGAGCCTGCTCAACAGAGATACGCGAGGTGGGATCGAAGGCGAGCATGCGGTCGAGGAGGTCGAGGGCGTCGGGGTTGGCATTGGGGAAGAGGCGGTCGAACGGGATCTTGGGCATGAAGGGGAGGTTGCGGACGTATTCCTGGGCGCGGGGGGAGCCGATGCGGCCCAGAGTTTCTTCGTTGGGGGTGCCCAGGTAGTGCAGGATTTGGTTGAGCTGGTCGACGTAGTCGCGGCCCTTGAAGAAGGGGCGGCCGCCGAGGAGTTCGGCGAGGATACAGCCGACGGACCACACGTCAACTATCGGGGTTAGTATCACTGTTGAAACAGTGAGATCAGACAGTGAAACGTACTGGCTTTGGTGTAGCTCTGGAAGCTCAACATAATCTCTGGAGCACGGTACCATCTTGTCGCGACGTATTCGGTCATGTAACCAGCATTCTCCTCGGGATCGATCGAGAAACCACGCGCGAGGCCAAAGTCACAAATCTTAAGTTCACAGTCCGCATTGACCAACAAGTTACCGGGCTTCAAGTCACGGTGCAGGACGTTCGCCGAATGGATGTACTTCAAACCGCAGAGGATTTGGTAGACGAAAGACTGGAAATGCGCATCGGTCAAGGGCTGTCCGGAACGAATAATAGCGGCCAAGTCACACTCCATCAATTCTAGAGAAGGGTCAGTGCTGTGACGGATAATTAAAGGGGAGGGGCAACCCCACCTTCGTACAGATATGTTTCATTGAAGTTATCCGGGCGAGGAATGTCCATATCATACAGACAGGTAATCTGTTGCTGTCAGCATCACACCTTGCCGGAGTATCCAAAGACATTAGTATAATATCGAAAACGTACGTTACGGTGGCCGCGGAAGTGCTGCAATAGCTTAATTTCTCTCAGGGCGCGCTTGGCCAATATCTTCTTGCTGAACACGTTGGTAACCTTCTTGATGGCGACGCCATCACCCGTGACATTGTCGTTTGCGGCACTAGGAGCGAGTCTCATCAGCATTGTCTTTTAACACATCGATACAAGCGCGCGAAACAACCAGACAGAAGTGCCGGACACCTACCAGACAATACCGTATGCGCCCTGACCCAACTCCTTGGTCACATGGTATCTGTCGCCGACAATGAAATCCTGATTGAAGACCTTGTAGATCTTGCGACCTTGTAAATCAGCCATGGCGCCGGGTTGGACTGAGAGTGCGCTCGTGTTCAAACACGGGGGAGAGTGCTTTAATCGGCAGTGAACGCGGAATAGTTTTCGCAGGAAGAAATCGTACTCGGACAGAGCTGGAATATAGCAGTAGGAGGGGGAAAGAAGAAAAAGGAGGTGGGAGTGAGACAAGCAAAGAGAGTGATTTGACAGCGTTGACACTCAGTTGGTGTCCAGCCCCGCAGTGATTGCCCGGGTGGAGCGGGGCGAATCAACAATCAGTCAGCACACAAAAATAAGGGACCTGAAAGAATATGAAGGCTTCTTTTGTTAGAGATTGTCTTTCTGACTGCCATATACACTATTTATGACCAGACATACTAGTAAATGAAAGCGATTGAATTATATATGCACTCTACCAACCTATTAAGCGTTATAATTATCTATAGTCTCATTCTTAGCTAGAATCACTCTCCAACACCACCCACACCAACCTCGATACTTACCCTCCTCTTCTCGATCCAGATATCGTCCAGTATCACGCTCATCCTCATACTCAGGAACGCAAGCTCCCACCATAACCCTTTTCTTGACCTTCTGCTTAAACCTCCCTCCGATTCCAACAATCTCCTGGCGAAAGTAACCCGGCTCTTCGTCGTCCAGGGTCGACATACTATTATCACCGGCATGTTGTAGAAGCCCGTGGTTATGGAGCCCATCCGGATCATCATCTGCTTCACTGACCACCTCAAGTTCAATTTCCTGAGCCGCCAGACAGCTCTCCCCTCGACCGCACTTGACACCCTGACAACCTTCACCAATTCCCGTTCCTAACCCGCCCAGATGGGTACTGTATCGGGTACGCCAGGTCCACACCCGGCGATAAGTGGTGTCCTCTCTCCGGATGGTATGTCCACATTGGTAGCAAAGCCAGACGGCATCTCCACATGAGCATGGTGTACGCATAAATGCCGGTGCGGTGAAGCTCGAAAGGTCAAATGACGAAACTGTTTCTTGCGAATGCATGTTTGGTGGCGTAGGAAAGTATGCTATGTGCTGGGAAATTGGAACAGTGTGACAAGTGGTGCATAGTCGACGAATGCGGTTCTTGAGCATGGCGTTTGTCGGAGTTTTTATTGTGCAATTCTGAAGCGACACTGTCAGTATGCCGCAGCAGCCAAGTATCCAGGGCATCTTACCCTGCAGATAACCTTAGAGCACCTCCGGCATTCGCCCACCATATCTCTTGCACATTTGCTAACCTTCCCTCGAGTCATTCTCCCGGACTGTCCGGTACCCTGGCTAAGGAGTTGAATAACGGATTTGACGCTATCCGGAATGGCAGCACCGCTATTTAACATATCCGATAAGGTCTCAAAATATTCATTCTCGCAACGCAGGGTCCGCTTGGTGAGTTGTTGTCGATACGGCGTTAGGTTCATATGGAATTGGCGACAGGTCTGTGAGAGGGCATGCAGCGTATTCAGGTCCACGCATCGAGCTAACTCTTCGACAATTCTGGTATCCAATTATCCAAAGTTAGCGCGCACACCTGAAGCACGAAGACAAGCTGTCAGTAGTAGTGATCCATACGGATAGCAGCTCAAGGCAGCTGAAAAGGTAGTCTGGTTGGAACACCGGTTTGTCGAGAGATGGCCATCGGATGAATCGACAGGGCTTTCATCTGTAGTAGAACTGTTCATTTGCTTCGAAGACGGTATTAATGATGCCTTCTCAGGCCTGATGAGATAGCTCTGGAGCAAGACATCTTCGGGACCTCCGGGAAGATGATGCTGGCTGCTGAAAGCATCATCGTCTAAGTCGACAAACACTACCATTTTCTTGCCGTGAACAAGCAGTTGAAACTAGAGCAAAAAAAAAAAGTACAAAAATTGAATTACTATAAGCAAGAGTTGCAGATCATGGTCGTGATGTACGAAGAAGAGATGAGATGGAAAATGATGTGAAGCGGGAAGCGATCACTTCCGTCTTCGGAGCGGAGATCTAGCACTCATTGACCGTATGCAGTAGAAATTGGTCTCCGAGTATACTCTGAATTACTGAAAGCGGAGAGATAGCCTTGATTTGTATCTTTATTCTTTTCTCAAGCAAATCGTCTAACGTGTGCGCCGTGGGGGATCTCAAGCCAGTAGTCTGACGTCACCATATCGATAAGCCAAACCAGCAACATCCGAGCAATCGGCCTAAGCCCTGGTTACTAGTATGTTAGTTGAAGCTTCCAATCAAATTCAATTCATCAAAAAAACTGATCCCCCAAACATAAGCAAGGAAAATTTGTCCAGAATATCCTATCTTGTTGGAAATAATGTCGAAAGGACATTTCTCAATGTCGCTGCACTTTGCCTGACCATCCTCTTTAAAAATGTCCGGCTGCGATTGCAACAGCCACAGGTATTCGTGCAATGCCCTCGGTTCACGTCGCGGTGTGTTGGCCGAGCCTTCTCGCAATATCCACAATCTCTACCACAGCAGCCGCCACGCCCAGTGCAGTCTTGCCGTAGCCATGCATTGAGGTACCAGTTGAGATCTCTTCTGTATGCGTTCCATGCTCGTTTAACGCTTCCTTGAGGTATATCTGACTCTACCGCCTAGTAAAGTCGGCAACTGTCCCAATACTAATTGCCAAGGCGCCTGAGTTCCTTTTTGTACGTGTTAAGCCGGGCCCTCTTCATATTCAATACATACTTATTACCGTTCAATTCCAGTAAATTGCACAAAGCCTAGACTTCTTCCTGGGCATACTTCTCTCTTCAGACAAGCCAGCGGAGTTCAATATCTGCCACAACAAAGCGCTGGGCCCATTCTTGTACGCTGTCTTTCCAATTTTTGCTCCGCTGCCAGAATATGTGCCAGCGGGCAGTCTGCGTAAGTTGAGGGTTGCCGGTCTCATCCAGCCTAGTCTCGAGCCAGCACATATTGGCTATGTTTTGAGGAGCAGGCTGTTCCAGACTTGCAAGGTGTACTTTTGCCTTGTTGGCAAATGACCGATGCTTTGAGAAGCATGCATTGGTCAGTTCCCGAGGCTGTCCATTTGTGGACAAGTAATACCATTCCTGCTATGTGTCCTTATCGTACAAAGGCTTTATTGTGCATACTTTAGTCTAGGAGACGCCAAATTTTCCAAATTTGCTAGCGAACGTTTCACCTTGTCAAAGGGTCATTTTGATCTCATCCGGCTTCTGACTGTTCATTCCTCAGGTACCAACCTCACAGCATCTCAATAGCAGAGAATCTAGCATTGGAGCACAATAGTTTATATGGTTCTATAACATCAAATTCAAAATGGGTATATGTAGATACAAAGGAAAGAAAACCAAAACTCCATAACCATAACCATAACCATGCCAGCATCAATGGAGAGACTCCAGGGTCATCTCGTCGTTTTATATCAAACAAAAGAAATGAACAAAGGAAATATATATACCGGTGTCACTGAGACACCTAGAAGAAGAATGGCTTCGCAGCGTATTGCTGCGGATCGCATTCCTCCTGGGGCAGCACCCATGTAGAGGCAGTATTGTATTGTATGGGCTGATTCGATCAAGTCAGATTCGTGTCCTTGATGCTATGATTATCGGAATGAGTGTCTTACCTGAGACGCAAGATCCCCATCCAGAGAGAGAGGCTCAATATCCGACCACGACATATCGACACCCGAAAAGTCCAAGGGCCGCAAGTCCGCCTGCAGCTGCAATGGCGAGGAAGTCAATCCGCAGTCGAGAATAGGCTCCGGGTAGGTTTCCGGGTATGATTCCATCATCGTAGCCGGTGTCGAGGAGAGCGAGGAGCTCGGGCGAGAAGAAAGGAATGTAGCACCCCCAGATGAGGAGGGAGAAGCGCAGGACTCGGGGTACGAATAGAAAGAAGAGTTGTCATCGATGAGCTCTGGCATAGGGCTCTGGAGCATAGAAGTCTGCTGAGGATACAAAGGGAAGTCGAGACCGTCCCAGTTGAAGGACTGGTCGCTGGCAAGGTCAAGGCGGATCTCAGGAGTGACGAGGGTTTCGATGGACATGGAGGTAGAAGTCGACTGTTGCGGTGTAGGCAGGAACATGTTGGAGTCGAAGGACGTAGGCATGATGTTCTTGGAAGGATGAGGTTGGGGTGCAACGGGAAGCTGGGTCTGTTTCCAACGTGCTGCGTTTTCCATCTGTGCGTCGAGCTCACTGTAAAGAGTCATTAGCACCATTCTACCGCTAAGAGGGCGAAGGAGACAGAACATACTGTCGCTCAATGTGACGGTTAAGCAAGTCCTGACGGTGAAATGCTCTCTGACACTCAGGGTAGGTGCATCGAAAAAGGGCCTCGGGGTTGTGGTTCAGCTCATGGCGTCTGGTAGTTGTTTAGTATGTCATCGACAGCTGGACCGTAGATAGAAAAGCATACCTCCGATGTTCGGCTCTGGTAAACACCTTGTCGCAGCCAGGGTACTGGCAAGCATGCACACGCTTTCCCTTTTTTGCTTTGCTGATGCGGTGGGTGGTGGGAGTGTAGGTGATAGGAATCGGAACTTCCAAGGTAGTACTGGTCTGACGCATGGTGATAATAGTTGTGGCGATTGGGTTTTCTATTGTATTGAAGAGGATATAGATAGTTGTGATGTTGTCTTGTTGACCTGCTGAAAACACAGACAGATGGACGGGCGAGAAGGAGGATGATATACTTCTGGCCCCTGAAGGGATTCGCCCACAACCGATTTCCTTTTCGGGAAGTCGACGGCTGTGGATGAAGGTGGAGGAATAGAATCAGACGTTGAGTGTGCCTCGCATCTGCAGCAAGGCAAAACGCGATATCTGAAACGGCTGCAAGAGTGGCAGTAAACTGAATAAGGTATGTGGGATTAAAAAAACGGAGAACTAGAGCGAGTCAGCCCGCCATGCGAGGCAGTCCCGGTTCCTGATCCTGATGTCAACAAGTGAGGACGCACGGATGTAGGGAGAATGTCGGTAAGCCCTAAGGATCGGTGTTGCAGGATGATCCTCCACTTAACGGGGGCTATGCTTGTATGTTGAAAAGCAGCGTGAAAGAAGAGGAGATGATCAAGTAAATAAGAAGAAATAATGCGCAGATTGTTGGACTATGGAGGGGACCCCCACAATTGAGCCTCATTGAGTGGATCCTGCTAAATCTACATGGTAGTTGGTCCAATCAGGAGCCCTGAAGGGACGCGCTAGTATCGCGTATTTACGGCCTGGGACAACGCTGCTTAATTCATGTTGGTTCTTGCACGAGGCTGATTGGCCGGGCAGAATGATTTTATCTATTTTTGACACTGCGAAGAAGGATTTAACTTTCAAGCAGTCAGTGTGAACATTAGAAAATATTAGTGCAGAGGCGAAGCTATTGGATCTGGTCAAATGCACTAGATAAGCCTTGATAGCCCACGCGAACCCACTCGGAAGTTCAGTTATACTCCAGAGTAGATTGGGTAGAAGTGCTCTGTACCTACCACGAAGTAGTATCTCGGATATGATCTATACAGTAGATTTGGGCATAGAGATTAAGGGGACATTCAATCGGACACCTCACGGAGACAACAAAAAGATACCGAGCAGTGTCTAATTGTTAATAACGATCACAATCTTACCCAACGGGGTAATCAGGATGCTCTGGCATTGCCGCAGCCAGCCCAAACCCTATCTTGGTTAGGCGGTCCACTCCGACATACGCTAGTCCTTATTAGGATTAGTATGGAGACCCTGCGTTGAATACGAACTGGGATTGCATCTGCAGTGACTATACTCTGTATACGAATAACTACAAGTCATACTCTGTACAGGGGCACAGGATATCGAGTGTATATAGATGACATTGTATTTTTCTCGTTCTATAGGTGCAAATTTCATCTGATACTCTGTGGTACTCCGACATGTTCGTTGAACTGCATGGTGGACTCGATATCCACCTCATGCAACAACACTTCACCGGACACATAGCAAAATGAACACATAAAAACCCAAGTCAGCCCTGTGGAGTGCCGAACCAAGCCCGAATGGATCCAAGCTCTGCCACTCTAAATGGCCCCAAAATGCCGTTTCATGATTTTACCTCCTGTCAGATTTATATCCAGGAACGAGATAGCGAAATAAACTCGATGTAAAAATAGATTCTACATCATACAGGAAGAACTATCCCGTCATGCATTATGCATTTTTTAAGGGAATACTGGTATGCCATGTTCTATCACGTGTGAGGCTTGAACAGGAAGTGCATGGGTGGGTCACGTGGGTCCACCATAGTTTGGGCTGTCAGCCTGACAGATGTCCGGGTTTTCAGAAGAAATGATACGGTAAATACCGTATATTCTCGGAGTAGAATACGGCATTCTCCGAGAGAACTCGTAGAGAACAATCTCGGAAGGAATGAATTTCCGAATTCCGAAGAGCAACTGCATACAAGTATGCCCGTACACGCGGACACATATTTCTTGTCATACCAAGCATTCTTGACAGATCTGACATGAGATGAAGTCAGAATCTGCATATCTGAAACTTCAGTCTAAAACCAGCACCAACAGCCTTAACCACGGATAGTAGCTACTGCTGCGCCCCCAGCAAACCGGTAACGGGAAAATCTGCCTTGGCTGACTGAGGCTGCGAACAGTGGCAGTCCTGCTGCAAGCTCTCCGGGGTTATGGCTATGGGGTAAATCCGCAAAGTGCATCAGAAGTCGATCAATTGCGACATTCTCCAACATCTTTTACACACAGCTGAGCTCGAAGGAGCATCCAAAGATAGTATCCTTTGGCCCCCAGATTAGTGAGCACTCTATATGACCCTGTGCAGGTATATGCTTTTCATTGTGGCCATGCCCTCTTGCTGGCCCCGCATACCAGAGCGTGATGCAACGCCCGTGACAGAAGGTCATTTACAGAAGGTTCGTTTACACGCTTGTTTCAGGCACAGATTGTTACGGGTCAAACCGGACCGGGCATGATGTTATGCATTGTATAGCTTCCAGTTATCCATCGGTGCATTTGGAATATGCTCTTCTGTGCTTGATGATTGGTTCTTCATGTATGTCGCGGGATTTACGAGTCTCGACACCGAGAGAGGACACTCAACTCAGGTAAGCCAGCAGGTTTTCCTCCTGCAACACATGCGCGAAATAAGGACCTTGGCCATAAATCAACCATGAAATATCGCGGAGTTGTCTACGATGTCGGGCTGAAACTCAGCGACCAAGGATTCGACTGAGAACCCTTCAAACCCGCCCTCGTGGAACATGACATGCGCATGATGGCCAATGAGTGAATGCTAACGCTGCGCGGGTCAAAGGGGAGGGAGTCCAACAACTGGCAGCCGCTGCACGTGTTGCTTGTGCAATGGGACTCACGGTGTTCTTCAATCCGTGGAAGATGAACGCAGACGTCGATGGGACGCGCTTATTTCGAGATGGCCCGCGGAGGCAGCCGAGCGGCCCAGAAACAAAGGTGTCGATATAATCTTTGTTGCTGGCTGTGTGTACACAATCTTCAGCAAAGGGGTCTTTCCGGGTGGCTCGTCCAATGAGTGCGGAGCATGGTTTGGCGCTCAACTCACTGGCAGTTACACGCTGGAGAATATTCCCGAGATCGTACCTGAGAAGTCAACAAAACGAAAAGAGATTTTACGGTCTTTCGCTGCAACGATCCGCACTGAACTCGCCGGACCATTGACATACTCAGCCGGAACATTGACATACTCAGCCGGAACATGGGAGCCCGTCCATCCAGCTTCGGTGATTCGAGCAACAACTACATTTCAGAACCGAAAATATCAGCCATGACCAACAGACACATATTGACATGGCGGAAATGGTCTATGTTGTGGAACTAGCGACAAAAATGGCCTGAAGTAATTCATCCAGCTACACTTGCAATTTACTCAGCTGTCTATAGAGTTGATTTTGCAGTAACTGGATTTGGATATGTAGGTTTCAACCATGCACCATTGCGGGCGAAAGGCTTTCCCTAGCAGAACGAATTTGTGTCATTGTTCCATCACATTCTCTCAACCCATAATGCTTCAGACTATCGACCGTGATTGGCACGTCAAGATCACCTTGAGGATATATGAAATTCTATTTGGTAATGAGATTAAGTCCATTGGTCGAGCGAAACAGACCAAGTTTCCCGAAACTCATTCGCCTTCTCATCCTTTAATCCCCAAGCAGATATAACTTTCTCTCCCATCTTATACTCCACTCAGTGCTGATTTTCAACGTAGCCTTGCCTGTCGTCAAATCTCTCTCGAACTTCAAGTATTCATGACTTCCCCTCTCTCCAATCTCTCCTCGGAATGAGAATTTCAATTTTCGCAAGCGTGGCATTCTCTGCACAGCGAGGCCCATTGACTCATAGAGCTGGTCGACTTCATAGTTGTTTATGAGTCCTCGTTGAGCATAGTATCCACTATTGTATTGCCATGGTTCAAGAGAATCCTCTACCAAATCTCCTTCCCAGTCTTTTTCGGGGTCATTGTCGAGGATCCATTTCCCTTATCAGGTTAATAACAATATCACACGATGAAACCTGGAATAACATACCATCAGCTGTATACGGAGGGGCCTCGAGAACCTTAAGGATCTCCAAGTTTGGCCAATATAGAAACTTTGTGTCGACCTTCTCTTCTGCTACTGGCCAGAATAATGCACTGCTGATTCGGACGTCCTCAAGATACAGTTCCCGGAGTCTCGTGCTAAGAGTTCGAAAGGCAATAGAAAAGTCGTCTAATCCTTGTGGAGAAAGATAATTGGCTGCATTGCGAGCGGGATTCATTGATAATTCACGTTGGCCTGGTATTGAATATGTGAATGTTTCTACTGATTCAGGAACCAATGGTAGATGCTCGACAACCTCTGCACTGTATGAATAGTCTGTACAATATTGATAGATGAGAAAGGGAAATACCTTGTCGCTGATCAGCCAAAGCCTGTAGAGCTCCTCGTGGGACAAATCGACCCTCTCCGCTAGAAACATGTTGAACATGGGGGAAACGACTGAGAAAGCGAAAGAAAGCTGATGGTCGAACATTGCTGTCTCTAACTTCGTGTAATCTAAAGCATGTAATATACGGCAAAATGGGCACATTCTGAATACCATCTGCAGTCAGATGCAGGGAATTAGGGACTTTACCCTTTCTCCACAGCTGGTCGATGTTCAGAGACTCCCATTCCTCCTGCTCGATCTCTTCATCGTCACCAACATCGATATAATCGTCATCACTCAACCAAAGCGACAATTCCATATTGGTCTGGTTATCTTTCCATGCATCTAGTAGTTCAAACAGATCAAGAATAGAGCTTTGACATTGATGAGAATAATAATCTGGAAGAAGCTGTACACGGACGTCATCACTCCCCTGAGTCTTTGTGTGCAGATCCCGCCTATTGATCTCAGGCGACCAGAGAATATGTCGAATATAACCCGCTCTCGCACGTCGATAAGAATCACTAGATGTGAAGCCCTTCAGCTGTTGAAGCGAGCCTTTCTTGTTGATGGTGATTTGTTGCCAAATCATGCGCTCCACGATTGCTTGCCATTGCCGCGAAACGATAGCGTACTGGGCGAGTTTTAAGGGTTTTGCACAGTTCCCAAATGGACTACGCGGTTTTTTTGGTGGTAATGCATCTCTTATAAGAGCAACAATGAGTGTGATCACTTCAGCTGGTAGAGAGACCATCTTTTCCATAGGTGAGAAATCTGCAGGGGCGTTGTGGGTATCGCGTGGTTTTGGTGGGCGGAAATCGAAGACAAATGGCTCAGATAACCGATTAGGGTAGTATGAATATAAAAAGGCATATGAAATATAGAGAATGATCTACCCTAGCATTGTTACTTTTTCATGTCAATGGTACTCAACATGAGGAGATCAACCTCATCATAGTGAATGAAATAGAACTGTCAGAACAGACAGGATACCCACCATCAAACGATTCCCTCGATTCCTTATTTTGATGCTCTCTGTCTGTACCTTGAAGTAGCCTTTAAAGTTCACCTAAGATTGTTAAAATATGTCACTTATCGCCATAGCCTCTCGAGAAAATCGAGCCGAAAGACGTTTGATAGCTGCGGAAACGGCGTCGAGTTCTGCCATTCTCGGCCTCTGATTGACCATTCTCATGGTTAAAGTGAATAACCTCTCAAGCAATGCTAGAATATAAACAGAGCTCTAGCCTCCTCTAATTTTTCTAGATACCGTCTAATCTCCCAGAGCCCATTGCCACAAGTTTGATTTCGTCGACATTCGTCCAAGGTATGCTATTACCAAACCTCGTAGTCCGTGAACCACGGCCGATCCTAACCCTCATTAGACAAAACCACCTTATACTCGCCAACTCTGCTATTTCATGCATATTCATCGCATCAGTGCTCTCCCACGCATTTTGGGGTGGCTTCAAGTAATCGTGGCCGTTGGATCTCGTGGTAACGATATCCGGTAGATAAACATATCGCCTGCTATTCGTTCAGCACAAGTCAGACCGATTCTGCCAACGGCTCTAGTGGTTTTTGATTTTATCTGGATGACGTACAAATGCACTCGATCAGTATCAGACATTCTCACATTGCTGTAGACCTATTCACCTAAATACAATCCCTCTGGCAGCTAATAATCTGCTTTACTAGAAGTGACAACACAAGGAAAGGGAATCAATAACCGGCTTGATAATAAACAAAGGGTAATAATTCTGTCCACAAGAGAAAAGAAAAAGAAAATACACAAATATTCGACCAAAATTAAACGCCATTTCACAATACAAACCCCTGACATGCCTCCCAGAAAATAGAAATGGCAAGATTGTTGAACCCTCCCGTTACCTATACAGCAAGCAGTTTTGATATGTCATTAATTAGTGTGGCCTCGAATGTCCGGGTGGAATGCAAGGGCCCTTTGAGCCCCTAGAGCCATGCATGTCAATTGCAGTGTTGGCTTTGATGATAGGCATGGAAGATGCAATCCGGGATAGTTTCGAATACAGCCTGATCTCGAATATATCGTAGTGACATACCATAACGCCGCACTGAATAATTCGATGGAAGTAGGTGATGCTCTCATAAAGTGGTTTTCAAATTAAGGAAAATGAAAGGAAAGAAAATGTCGGGAAAAGCGAAGGTGAGGATTCGAGTGGAGGAAAGTGACATGTACGGTTCGTGGTGCTTTTTATAGAACAAAATAAAGGCGCAGACAGCCGTCATAATGTCGAAAAAGAATAGTCAGACTTATGATCGGTCGGGATTCGTCACCTGTCAAAAGTCAGTGTTAATTTTTTACGCCGTGAAATTGATTCCACTGTTTACCTTTAGAATCCGACGCGAAAAGTCTTGATCGTCATCAATGCTGCCGTTGCTCTGGCGTCTTTGGGCCAAAAAGTCACCGTCAAACCTCGAGTCCGACATTGAACTTGTGGACTTGGGCTTGCCAAAGTTGTCGATGTGCGCATTGCGAGAGTATTCGTTTTGCATGCCCTTGCGCTTCCGGAAGCGCCAGAGGAAGAAGCCAGCACCCACCAAGGCACAGAATCCGACAACACCTACCACCACACCTGCCGCGATAGCTGCTGTGTTGGGGCCCGAGTCCTTCGAGGTTTCATTAGTTGAACCAGTCTCGCTCGCAGCGGTCGCTGTGACGGTCTGTCCTCCAGAGGTCTCAACAGTACCATCGGTCGAAGTCGATGAGCTACTATCAGTGGAACTTGATGATCCATAGGTTTTGACATCGTCACTTTCGCCGGTCAGGTAAACAGCATAAGCGTTATCACCGCCACCTAGAATCGAGCAGGGTCAGTTTGCATGTACTATGCGCTTCATATGATGGGAACATACACTTATCAGAAGGATAACCGTTGCAAGAGACGTCGCACTCATCATCGGAAACCTTCTTCGACGATGCTGGGATTTCATCTCCACATAAACAGTTTGAACCTTGGTACAGCGCATACACAGCCTTATTTTTCTTTGTGCACTGTGTTTTACAGTATCCTGAACTCTGGAAGGTGTAAGGTCCTTGATCCTTCAATGGTGTCGCATCACTGTAGCAACCCTTGGATGACGAACTCGCTGCCATCACAGGGACACTAGCGGCGAAGAAGAGCGTCGAAGTGAGGAAAGCGGAGCGCATCGTCGAGAATTTCATCTTGCAGGATGTATATACAATCGATTCGGTTTGTTAGGACAGATCGAATCGATATCAACGGTGATTGGAAATTAATCCGGGAACCACGCGTAGGAGAGTTTGTTAATGTCGATTTGTATATTGGCCGCCAATAAAAAGGACCAGGGACGACCCGCGTAACCCTTCGGACCTTGTGTCGTCTTAACGGTAGATTCCTCAACGAGGAACCGCGTCGTAGGGGCGATTAGGGATATCGATTCGTCGGCAGCGGGATTAAGTCGATGAACAGCGATAGGGGAGGAGCGGATTCGGTGATGATAGGTGGTAGCGATGAAAGGGAGGAAGGGTCCGGGTCCCTTTGGCGGGGACAGACTTTTAGGACGGTTGCTTCAAAGGCTTCCCCCTAAATCCCGAAGAAATAGGATGACCGATCACCCTAAATGTGGCAGGCAGAGTCGAAAAAAAAAAAAAAAAAAAGACAACGGACACCTCGTGCTGAGGTCGAGTGATTGATAAAGAGGGAACAATAGGGAGAGACACCCTACTATTGGCGATAGAGAGGGTAACAGGAGGTGGAGAGACTCCCTATTTGGCGCGACAAAGCGAATGTGTGTGCGTATGTGAGAGCGAGTATGAGTAAGTCGAAGGATGATTTTCGACCAACAGGGAAGGGAAAACACAAGAAAGGAAAATCCAATGAAGGGAGGGAAAAGAGTGGAAGCAAAAGAGAGAAAGAGAGAGAGGAAAAGAACAGAAAGAGAGACTGGAAGGGGAAAGAGAGAGAGGGAGAGAACGAGGAAGCAGGGGAAATGAAGGGAATCTCTTTCTCGCCCTGGATGCCCGCCCGGGTTGGTTACGGTAATTTACCAGCTGGGGCAACTGACCCAGACCCAGAGGGGAGAGAATTGTGGTACGGACGGTTACGATACGGGATTAATCATCAATGCATGGACGGCCCAGGGGGAAAAGTGTGAAGGCGATCCTTGCTTCTTGGGGGCACGCGGGCTGTTAAACTATACCTGGACAAGTAATGATGGGGGCACTGGTGTAACACGCCAGGGCGGTACTCGATAAATAAAAAAGAGGGGAAGCATTGATGACGAGTATCTGCACATTTGTACAGAGCTCTGATGAGTAAGCTACACAACTATCCTCCATCACTCTACTATGTATTACGGAGTACGCTCCTAAGTACGACTGCAAATGGACTAATATGCAAGTTCATACTCTGGAGAATAGACTACTGTATACAACCAACCTTCAACTAACAATTGCAAGCAAACAACTCATCGGTGTCACCTCAAACGGCTACAGTTGATCCCTGCTATTCGGGTCTCCCGGCATCAACCAATCAATCCCCGACCAAAAGCGCCTTGCTTTTTGTCCAACGTGTATTTGTCCTCGCCCCAAAAGAAATCATAGCACAATGGATAAATATTCCTACCGCTGGATGTATATATTGCTTTGGTTGCTTTGTATTCTATCCATGGGTTCACCGCGGTAGCTCCCGAGGTGTTTACAGGATCGGTATTATCGGTACGACGGTGTACTTGTAATTATTTGGCCAATAAGGGAGGGTCCGCTCAGGTACAAGTGCACTGTAGTAAGACTTGTATGCTTGACAAAAGAGATCTGATCTTTCTTTCCGGCAATTGTGTAGAGGATATCCAAGGATGTTCAAACTCTGCAACAAATCAAAAACGTAAATGGTCTTGTTCCCGGCGACAAACAACGGTCCAGCGCCAATTGCAATTTCGCTTGCCGTCCTCGGAGGTGGAAAAGATTCCGATGGCAAATGTAGCCTTAGGCATTTATTGTATTATGCACAATGATGACGATGTATGTTGTCTCTTCAATTGAAAATGTCCAGAACATCCGGGTGTTTCGGAGTGCTCCATACAGACAATGAACGCTCTAACTGATCGTATCATATCACAAATCCTCGACCCTGATAAGTACATTCCATTCCAACCTTATCCCGGCATGCTCCCCATACAAGCAAATCCATCAATCCAATCCTTTGACAGAATCCTTTAAGCTTAATCCCAACTGCATGTCTCAGGCTATAACTCTGTATACGTGTACTGTAATTTGTACTTTCGTCAGCGAGTCAGCGTCATCCGTACTTTCCCATCAGAACATACTCATACTCTCTGCACAACTCCAATAGTACAAAGTACGCTCATTTGTACTACAAAGGAAGAACAAAATAAGGCCCTAAGAACAGGCCTAGAATCTTACTGGAGTCCCCGTCCGGTCTGGACTCTTGACTCGAATAGTCGATCTTCGGTCCTTTCCTCTCCACCCTCCTAGAAAAAACAAGAGACTAGCCTCCGGCTTCTTCTATATTTGGGAATTTTGTATGCAGAATCAAACAGAAACATTTGACAATCATTCATTAGTGTTGTCCTGGTCTTAGCTGAGTTTTTTTTTTTTTACCCTTTTTCTGTTTTTGGGTCAGGGTCTTGCATCTTGTCGGGAGATGCCGTACGCCACAGCTCTGTGCTCTGTCCCACGTTAGCTGTATTCCGTACTTGTTCTCTACTGAGGATTATTGAACAGGGGTAATCTTTTTTTCTTCTTTTTTCTGTCCAACATGACCCGAGTAAAAACAAAAGGACCAACCACGGAAAACACCATCCGTACCGAGTACCAGGTACTGAAGGACTTGGGATTTCGACTGCTCCCGAAACTACAACATTTGAATCCAAACGAGTGGTGGATGTATTGATACGTGAATGTACTTTTATATATACAATCAATCGGCATCTGAACCAGTAGTTGAAAATCGTCTCGGCGCTATTATCCATAGGTCCACGTGGGCTAGAAACGAATCGTGTTACCAAACGTGCGGTCGCTACTCGGTCGTTGAAGAGCTCCGATGTAATCGTCTCTTCATATATATGCAGTTGATGCAACGATGCAGTTGATGCATTCAATGTATTCCATAAATTGCGTTATTTCCAATATAGATGTGTCGTGTCCACTTTTTGTATCCTTTTATGTTCAGTTCTCCTCTCTGTATAATTCAACATCTTCCAACCGTGAACGGAAAAATCTGAACCGGACAAGCATCTCAATCAATTATGGCTTGGGAATGTGTATTGTCTTGCTGACCATCATGCAACCGTGCACGACAAAAAGCAACACAATAGGATGGAACTCGAAGGGCGTGCCTTGCGCAACAACACCCAAGGGAAGATCCTCGAGTATCCAGCCCTGCGAAACCCAGTATGCCATAAGCGAAGCGATAGACAGCGTCGTCGGAATCGGTGTGCCTTCGAAATACTTTGATTTGCCAGTCTTGTCCTTGGGCAGCACTGCGACGGTCACGTTAAACCGAGCCAAGCGTGTCAACCCACAAAGCACAAAGAAAGTTAGGAGCAAGTGGTCGGCCGGAGTGCGAGCTCCAAGTGCGAATGCTGCGGCAGCGGGTGCGAGGCCAAAGGAGATCTAGGACGAAAGGAGCGACACGTTAGCCAACAAAATGGGGACCAGCGCAGAAAAAAATATTGTACCAGATCCGCCAACGAGTCAAGCTCCTGTCCCATCAAAGATGACTTCTTCCTCCACCTTGCAATCTTTCCATCCATAAAATCAAAAAACAATCCAAAAGGCATGAAAGCAAGAGCGGCCCAAATGTTGCCGTAATCAGTCGGCTCTCCTAAACAGTATCGCATCGACGAGAAAACAGACATGACTGTTCGCGAAACGGTCAGCGACGCACGTAAACAGAGGAATCACTGGAACAGGACTTGCCTCCGCAGAAACCTGGCACAATTGTTAGCAAATTTATGCAAAAAGTATAAGCGATATTATCCAGTGTATTTACCATTGAGCTCAGTAACCAAATCAGCGAGATGCAGGGCCCTGTCAATTGAACGTCGGATCAGCAAACCCGACTAAACGCTCAGTAGCAGAATCGAAGGACTGACCTAATCATGCTAAAATGTCCTGTTTCCGCCGACAGCAGCATCTTCTGCTTTTCCTGGCCTGCAAATCATTAGTTGCTGCTATCATCCAGCAGAAATCCGGATGCCTACCACCATCACCCGAGGTCGGGTTACCGCTATTCGAAGAATTGCTCGATGACATGGCTGTCGTTCTGCGAGACATGCTCAGATAGACAAAGAGGTAAGAAGAACAACAAAAAAAAAAGGTCAAAAAGAGTCCTGAAATTGAGGTGGACTCTGGTGGAGATGCAGTGATAAAATGGCGGGAAGTTGTTGGCGTGAAGTGAGTGTTGACAAGACGCACAGATTCTACGGCTGGCGGATACCCACGTCATTGCCGGGGGGCGTGGCTAACTGCGCCACAAGCACTAGCCACAGTTACGGAAAATAATTGTTGCTAGCCTCTTTTTTTTTTCCCCCTTGATTTTTTCAGATAGAGCACCATTATAGATTGACACTGCGTACACTAATGGCCAGTATGTTCTACAGCTTTAACATAGAAGCAACCAACACTTTTCCTAATATGCACAAAAGGACAAAAAGTTTCCTGCAAGAGCTCCCAATTTCCCCAAACGCCGTAATAAGACAGTAGCAGTAGATATGACAGAGACTGCCTAGAATCGGCCACGAGGGGCACCGCGACCACGGCCGCCGCCTCTTGAGAAACCTCCACCACGGGGAGCACCTCCCCTACCTCCGAAACCACCTCCGAAACCTCCGCGTCCACGGGGAGCGCCGCCTCTGCCACCGCGGGGAGCACCACGTCCACCCCTCATTCCACCACCACGAGCACCAGGCTTGGTAACCCTTTTCGGCTTCGCGGCACCTAGGATTATGTTAGTTGAAAAAGTAAACAAATTGAAGGGTTGGGGTCCGTACCCGGTGGGGGCTTGGGCTTGGGAAGGAACCTAAGAAGACTTGTTAGCGACAACAACTTGTGAAAAATCGAAGAGAAAATGCAACGTACTTCTCCAAAGGCAAGAGTTTGTCACCGCCAATGAAAACCTTGTCACCAGCCTTGAAAGAGGTCGCGACAATGCCCTCCTGAGGTTTGACGGTAAAGTACACCTGGTTGATGGGGCCTAAGATTTCGTCGACCTTTCCAATAGGAGTCTATTAAATCGAATTAGCCTTAATGATCGCTTATATTAAATTCTTGTTCGATGGTTTCGGACCTTGTTCTCGAGGTAGATGGGGGCGTTGAAGTAGGGAATCTTGGGGTTGATCGATTCACAGACGAGCTCGCCTTCAGACGCGTGCATGAAGCTTCCCATCTCTGCTCATTTATCAGCCCCTGTAACATTTTGAACCAATTAAGAACAGTATGATTATTACCCAAAACCTGCGCGGGCGGACCGAATGACGGCTGGAAGCCTCCGCGACCTGTCCAACGAAAATTTCGTTAGCCTGAGCTTCAAATCATGAATTTTTTTTGCTCACCACCGCGACCACCGTAAGATCCTCCTCGATTAGCACCAGTGGCAAAGCCACCACGGCCCCCTCCGCGAAAAGACATAATGAATTGAGTTGGTATATGCGATTGACTTGGATAGAGCGGGTGTCGGAGAAGTTTTCGTTGGGTGGAAGGCTACAAACGGTAAAGTGTCGCTAGCCGCCAGGGCAGTTTGATCCCACGTGACTCACCGCCTTCCGTCCCTCATTGTGGATTTGATTTGCATCGCAACGCCCGCGATTGAGTCACCCCTCTAGACACTTCATTTTCTCTCTTCCAGATTGGTCCTCCCCGAAACCGTGGCTATAGAGATGGCTGCTGAAGGCTCGAAGGATCTGCCAGTGAGGCCCGCGGAGGCCAATCCCGCTAAGGCGGATGCGAAGCAGTCGAACACCGATGCCCTCCCCGATTTCATCGTCGAGCGAAACAACCTCTTCGAAGAACTGTGGCAGAAACACCTCGAGGAGACTAAAAACAAGCCGCACCCGGAAATCAACATTACCGTCGACCTTGGCAATGGAACCACCTCTACTGTTACGGCCAAAGCTTGGGAGACCACCCCCGCTAAGCTCCTCAAGGATCTTCCGAAAGAGTTGGGCGCCAATGCTGTGATCGGAAAGGTCGATGGAGAGCTCTACGACTTGGGCCGGGTCTTGGAACGCGATTGCACGGTTGCCTATGTTCCGTTTGATGACCCAGAGGGTAGAGAGGTGTTCTGGCATTCTAGCGCGCACTGCTTGGGTGAGGCTTGCGAATGCCAGTACGGGTGTCTTCTTTCGCATGGACCGCCTACAGCCCAGGGTTTCTTCTATGATATGGCTATGCCCGATGGGTATGTTGTTGGTAATAAACCAGCATATAATTCACCATTTTGTCTGTATTGTAGTGACTGACGTCGAGAATAGCCGTGTCGTCACCCAGAGTGACTGGTCATCCCTCGAGACCAAGTCGAACCGGATCATGAAAGAAAAGCAGAGCTTCGATCGGCTGGAGGTTGCAAAGGAGGATCTTAGGAAGATGTTTGCGTACAGCAAATACAAGCTGCACTACATAGATAAGCTGGTGACGGGTGAAAAGAGTACCGTGTACAGGTGTGGTACTCTTGTTGACCTGTGCAGGGGTCCTCACATTCAGAGTACTGGCAAGATAAAGAACTTCAAGATCATGCAGGTAATTAATTGGATGGTCCAAGAATTATTGTGTGGATGCGCCCCGTTAACACCCTGGTTAGAACTCTTCCGCATATTTCCTTGGTGACCAGACCAATGATTCCTTGCAACGTATCCGTGGTGTTGCCTTCCCCGACAAGCAGCGATTCCATGAGCACATGAAGTTCCTTGAGGAGGCAGAGAAGCGTAACCACGTCAGAATCGGCAAGGAACAGGAGCTGTTCTTCTTCGACGAAGTCTCCCCAGGTTGTCCCTTCCTTTTGCCCAACGGAACCAAGATTTTCAATGCCCTCCAGTCTCTCCTGCGATCGGAATACCGCAAGCGTGGCTACCAGGAGGTCCAGACCCCGAACATGTACGATGTCGGTATCTGGAAGACATCCGGTCACTGGGCCCACTACAAGGATGACATGTTCAAGCTCGACGTTGAGAAGAGGGAGTGGGCTCTCAAGCCTATGAACTGCCCTGGACACTTTGTGCTCTTCGGACACCGGGAGCGCAGTTACAGAGAGCTTCCGCTGAGAATCGCAGACTTTGGTGTTTTGCACCGTAATGAGGCTTCGGGTGCTTTGAGTGGTCTTACTCGTGTCCGTAAGTTCCAGCAGGATGATACTCACATTTTCTGTAGGCAGGATCAGGTACGGATTAAGTTCTACTCCTATGCGCGGAGATCAATGCTAAAAACATGTAGATCACTTCGGAAATTGAAGGACTTTTCGATTTCCTGCAATCCATCTACGGCCTATTCGGTTTCACCTTCAAGCTGAAGCTCTCTACCCGTCCTGAGAAATATCTAGGTGAGATCGAGACGTGGAACTACGCCGAAGAGCAGTTGAAGAAGGCCATGTCGAACTTCAAGGGCACCGACTGGACCATCGACGAGGGTGATGGCGCTTTCTACGGACCGAAGATCGATATTACCATTGCCGATGCCCTGAAGAGAGAGTTCCAATGTGCCACCATCCAGCTGGACTACCAAGCACCGATTAACTTCAAGCTTGAGTACATGTCTCACGAGAAGGCCCAGGCTGGTGCTGAGGAGTCGAAGCAGGAGGGTGAGACCAAGTCCAATGAGCCTGGCCCTGGCCGTGCGCGTCCCGTTGTCATCCACCGTGCTATCATTGGTTCTTTTGAACGATTCCTGGGTATCTTGATCGAGCACTATGGTGGCAAGTGGCCCTTCTGGATCAGCCCTCGCCAGATTCTCATTGTCCCTGTTATGCCTGCTGTGAACGACTATGTCGAGGAGTTGCAGCAACTTCTTCGTGAAGACAAGCTGAATGCCGACATTGACATCAGCGGTAACACCATGCAGAAGAAGATCCGTACTGGACAATTGGCTCAGTACAACTTCATTTTCGGTAGGTTTTCCTGTATACTATTGCAGATTTGGTCTATTCCTAACATCGCCAACAGTTGTCGGCGCCCAAGAGAAGGAGTCTCGCTCCGTCAACATCCGTAACCGTGACGACCCAGTCACTCAGAAGCAGGGTGTTATGATTCCTCTTGAGGAAGTACGCACCAAGCTCCGTGCCCTGCGGAAGGAGCGCCGGTTGGTGAATGCTCTGTAAAGGGGCTGAGCAGGGCTAGCGTGGTTGGGACCACTATCTTATGGCCAACCAGTAATTCATGTTGCTTGGCCTATGAATGATGTGACCATTGATTCGCCGTCTGTTATGAATGAACAAAAATCGGAAAAGTTGAACGAAGAGATGAAGAATGATATATGCATTTGCTTGACACATGTATTCTTGGTTTTAATCGTAATACTAGGACGCACTGTTGGAAGTGTCAGCGTACTACCTCGGCGCATATGAAAGCAATGCAAAAGACCATATTTCAAAGTTTATGCTAGCCCCAGATTCAGTATCGGAGACGTCTCCGCAGGGCGTGTGATGTTACCAAATACCAGAGGGCGTAGCCGAAACAAGTGCGTCGCCATGTCGGCCGAGTGTAGACAGCTTTACCTTATCATGCCCAAATTGGGAAAGCCTAGTACCTCGTTTAATAAATTGACTCATAGCTATTTGTGAAGTGGGAAATTTTCTAATACAGGGTATCATCACGGCGTAGATTCGGAGATGGACATATAACTCCGTCTTCCCGAGGGAAAGTAGAGAGACCCTTTAGCGGGGTAAGGCTGATAGAAACTATTCCACCCCAGTCATCAGCATTTCTTCTCTAATTTTCTTTATTATTTTGATATCCAAGAGATCCCATTGACAGACAGAAAAACCACCAAAATGCCACTCAACTCCAAAGCGGTTTACTCCAAACTCAACGCGGACTTCGTCCCGTTCTCCAGCCGGAGAAGTACCGTCCATAGTACTAAAGGTATTGTCTCGTGTACGCAGCCTCTAGCTGCGGCTGCTGGACAGAGAATTCTGAAGGAGGGTGGAAATGCTGCTGTATGTCCACTGCATCTTACTCCGATCCATATATACTAACAACATCCAGGACGCCGCCGTAGCCGTAGCAGCGGCACTAAACATCACGGAACCAAGCTCTACCGGCATTGGCGGTGACATGTTCTGTCTGTACTACGATGCTAAATCCAAGAAGATTAGTTCCCTTAATGGTTCTGGCCGCTATGCCGGCAATGCAAGCATCGAGAAGGTCCGGAATGACTTGAATATCGCGCCTGAGAATCAAGGAGAGCGTATTCCCATGTCTAGTGCTCTTGCTGTGACTGTTCCTGGTGCTGCAGCGGGGTGGGTTGATACGATTGAGAAGTTCGGGAGTGGGAAGTTGTCATTGGAAGAGATTTTGAAACCGGCTATTGAGCTGGGAGAGGAGGGGTTTCCGGTTTCCGAGTTGGCTTCTACGTTTGTGTGTTTCTTTCTATGCTCATGACTATTCGAATGGATGAGAACTAACGGGGGACAGTGGCAAGAAAGCGAGGATCTGCTTCGCAATGCATCTCCGAATTTTCGAGAAATGCTCAAGGCAGATTCCAACAGCAAAGACGGTGTTAGGAGTCCCCTGCCCGGAGATATCCTGAAGAATCCAACGCTAGCCCAGACCTTCCGCTCCCTGGCAGCTGAAGGCAAAAAGGGCTTCTACGAGGGCCGGATTGCAGAGGCAATTGTCAAGGTGGTCCAGGATCTAGACGGTTACATCTCGCTCGATGACCTTAAGCATCATGCGGAAACAGGAACCCAAGCAACAGACGCTATTTCGCTCAAGTTCTCTGGTCAGAATATTGTCGAGAACCAGCGCACCGGCACAGACGATGGAGAACAACACGGCGTCGAGATCTGGGAACACCCACCCAACGGACAGGGCATCGTTGCACTGATGGCGCTGGGAATTCTCGAGGAACTCGAACGCACACACAAAATCCCACAATTCACCGAGAGCCAGCATAACTCAGCCGGATACCTGCATGCTGTGATTGAAAGTCTCCGTATCGCCTTTGCAGACGCATCCTGGTGGGTTACAGACCCGGACGTCGAAAAGGTCCCAACAAACGAACTCATCTCGCAACCCTATTTGGCTGAACGAGCCAAACTCTTCAACCCAGACAAAGCATCCAATGTCCTCGACCACGGCAGCCCAGCGCATAACCATTGCGACACAGTGTATTTCGCCGTAACCGACAAGGATGGCAACGGTATTTCCTTCATCAACAGCAACTATGCCGGTTTCGGAACCGGAATCATCCCCCAGGGCTGTGGATTTACCTTGCAGAACCGTGGCTGCAATTTCTCGCTTACAGCTGGACATCCCAATGCTCTTGCTCCCCGCAAGAGACCCTACCACACTATCATCCCCGCCATGATCACGAACTCCACAGATGGCACGTTGCACTCCGTATATGGCGTGATGGGCGGGTTCATGCAACCCCAGGGCCATGTGCAAGTCCTGCTTAACATGTTAGCATTCAAGTACCACCCGCAAGCGGCGTTGGATGCACCCCGGATCTGCCTTGCAGCTACATCTCCGGAGCCCGGGAAGAATATGGATCGTACAGTCTTTGTGGAGGAGGGTGTTAGTGCAGAGGCTATTGAAGGACTGAAGAATATGGGGCATAAGATTCAAGTTTTGAAGGGGTGGAAGAGGGGGATGTTCGGGAGGGGGCAGATTATTCGGTGTCACCATGATGATGGGATTCTGGTGTATAGTGCTGGCAGTGATCCAAGAGGTGATGGGATGGCCATTCCTGTGGTATAGTCGGCTTTTATGGTTCCCACGAGAGTCGGTTATGAAGTTCTGGCAAGCAATCAGTCCTTCCATTAGAACCAGTATAGTGCAAGAGTCCAATTTCATCGTCAAAAGAATACATTCAAACCTCCCACTAATACATAACATCGTAGCGTACATCAATCATCAAAAATCAAAAGACCCAACAACTCGCTAACAAAGGAAACCAAAAGTATTAAAAAGTAAGATAAATGTTCACACAAGAATAGAAATGAAAAAAGAATACATGAAACCGAAGCGAATAAAAAATTAACAAACCACAACAGTAGCCTTAAGAATCTGTCTCAATTTCGACGGCCGCGGAGGGGGAGGAGTCTCAAGTTGTCGACCCCGGTGGTGATGAGAGCGATGATGATGCTCTTTCTCTCCCGAATGCCGACGACGACGTGATTCTTTCTCCTCGACTTCCCTCTGTTGCCGTTCTTGTTGCTTCTGTTGCTCTTCCTGTTCTTTTTGCTCCTTAAGCTTCCCCTCCTCTTCTTCAGCAGCCTTTCTGCGTGCCCGTCTTGCTTCTCGCTCTTCTCGTCGAGCAGCTTCATCATCGCCGTCATCTTTGTTGCTGTGGCGTGATCTGGTAGAATGGGAACGTTCAAGAGATTTTCTTCCCTCGTCACGGGTGCGGCTGTGACTGTGACCATGGCTATGGCTATGGGCGTAGCTCTTCGAAGATCGACGACTTCCGTGACTGTGTTCATGGTAACGCACGTTGGCGGAGGCTTTGTGGCCATTAATCATAAGCAAGGGACCGTTTGTGTCTGATTCCGTGTTCATGTACTTTAAGAACGCACGAGGTTTAGGCGCTGAAGATGCTGACATCGCCGCATGTTTCGAAGAGGCCAAGTCTCGCTCGTAGCTAACCGAGCTCCGACGTCTTGATTTGGTTTCGAGGGCTTCGCTTTCCTTCCCAACGGTTCGTTCGGTTCGTTCAGACCGCGAAGCACGTCTAGATTGTCTTCGCTCCCTTGGTTGCGACTCTCCGCGCTCTCGTTCCCGCTCTTCTGATCGGCGGCCTCTTTCGATAACGGCGACTTTGTGGTGTTTTGTTCGCTTCTCCTCGTGCTTGGCCTTCTCTTCATGCTTTCTCTTGGCTTCTCCCAATGCCTTCACCCAACGGTTCGTGATGACGTTGCCGTCGCCCTTGCCGCCGCGTTCGAGGTCACGATATCCATAAGATGAGCTCCTAGAATGGCGTCGTTCACCGTCTACATCTGTAGACCGCCGCTTCCTTCTGCGCGAATGTATAGCTGCAGCCCCTGCTGCCACAGCCCCCCCTGCAGCGGCGGCTTCTGCGAGATGTCCACCCTTGGATGATTCTCCACCATCAGCATCAGCAGGCGGTTCTTCAGGCGCTGGTTCTTCAGGCGCTGGTTCTTCAGCCGGGGGAGCTTCTTCAGCAGCTGGTTCGACGGGTGTCTCCTCTGGTACAGGATCATCCGGAGCAGGAGTTTCTCCGGGTGCCTCCCCAGCGACTGGTTCCTCTTCAGGAGCAGTCTCTTCAGCGGGAGCCTCAGCTGGCAGGTCTTCCGCAGGTGGTTCGTCGGCAGAGGCGTCTTTGGAAGCTGTTTCTTCAGCAGCTGGCTCTTCTTTTGGTGTAGCTTCTTCGGGCTCTTCAGTAGGAGTGTCCTCAGGAACAGTGTCCTCGGCCAGAGTTTCCTCAGGTGCAGGCTCTTCTGCCGGAGGGTCTTCAGCAGGTTCGTCAGCCAGTACATCTTCTTCCACAGCAGGCTCCTCGGCGGGCAGTTCTTTGGGTTCTTCAGCAGGTGCCTCTTCAGCCGGTTCCTCAGCTGGCTCTTCCTCTGCGGGTGCAGCCTCTTCAGGAACAGGCCCCTCACTTGGTGGATCATCAGCAGCAGGCTCTTCTTCATCGGGTGCTTCTTCGGCTGGTATTTCTTCCGATGAATCTTCAGCAGGTGCTTCCTTGACGGGGGCTTCCTCGGCAGCTTCTTCAGCGGGTGCAGCCTCTTCGGGGGCAGGCTCCCCAGATGGTGGTTCTTCGGCAGCGGGCTCTTCGGTCGGAGCATCCTCTTCAGCAGAAAATTCGTGAGCAGGTGGTTCTCCAGCAGCGAACTCTTCAGCGAATTCTTCTTCAGCAGACTCAGCAGGTTCTTCAGCTGCAGCTGCCTCTTCTGGGGGTGTCTCTTTGGCGGGTTCGTCCACAGGCTCCTCTTCGCCAGATTTATCAGCAGATTCCTCTGATGTCTCCTCTTCAACCATCTCCTCATTTACTGGTTCTGCTTCCTCTTCCGGTGCCGGTGTTTCTTCAGCTGGAGGTTCTTTAGATGCTCCCTCGTCCACACCGTCGTCCGCAACAGCTTTGGCTTCAGTTTCGTCTTCAACAGGCTTCGGATCAGCAGCGGGATCCTCCACTGGAGAGTCTTCCTTTGCTTCAGCGGGTTCTTCTGGCGCTGGTTTCGGCTCTGCATCTTCTTGACTGACCTCTGATTGTTCAGTTGGTGTTTCTTTGGGTCCTGCGTTGTCTGCTGGTGCCTCTTCGCTTTCACCTTCCGATTCAGGTTTGGCTTCAGCCTCAGCTACTGGCTCTTCTGCGGCTGGCTCTTCTGCGGCTGGCTCTTCTGCGGCTGGCTCTTCTGC